CTGAAAAATAAGAGAAGTGCAGGGGAGCTAGGGCAGGGCTGGATATCAACTTGTGTAGACTCACCGGGAGCAGCCATGATAGAACCGCGCTGTGGGAGAACAATGCACTCCGGTGACAGCAGGGTGGAGAGAGAGTTCTTCAGGAACAGGAAAGCCAGGTCGTGCCACGGCAAGATGGACGTGGAGAAGAACGGCTCGGATATCAGCACATCAACCTGCAGCCGCACACGGCAGGGCATTGTGCAAAGGACATACAGATAACACACGGGTCAGCCATCATCTATCAGGGTTCTAGCCAGGTCAAAATAGTAGGGGGGGGGGGGCATAGGAAACAGTTACCCTATATCCCATTTTTCCACTTTCCAATATTGTCTTGCCATGCCAAATGCAACGTATGGGGCGAATCCCTGACTTCACCCCAGCCAAATGTGCCTTTATGAACAATCTATGCATAAAAAACACGAAATTCGGAAAATGAGTAGGGGGGGGGGGGGGCGGCACTTTTTCACAGGGGGGCGCGCAAACAGAGTAGGGGGGCGCTGCGCCCCCCTACCCCCCCCCCCCCCCTTTGGCTAGAACCCTGTCTATACTAAATTCTCGATGAAGAAATTGTTGCCGTGCAATACATGAAGTGGCATAGTGCATGGACAAACGCCCAGCACATACTTATTTGACTGCTAGTATTAATTTTATTAAGCTTACATGGACAGTGTGAACTGTGATCTGTGTTGAATTGTTGCCAGAAAAAGCTGCTGGCTGCGTTCGATTATGCACTCGAGTCGATTCATGAATCCATTCGCATGCATTCAAGTCGTTCGATCGCATGTCATGAGCCCTGGAATTGATTCGGAATCCATATCCCCCTATTCACATGGGGTGATGTGAATAGCGCGAATCGATTCATGAATCGGTTCGCGTGCATAATCGAACGCACTCACTGTAAAATTCGCATTACACTCTTCTCGTGAAAATAGTGAACATGAACACGTCGCGAACATTGGGCAGTTTCCAGTAGAATAAATTGACCAACTACTCGTATGCCCTCCACCGTCGTCAATCAACTTACCGTCTTGTTGCCAATATGGCTAGGCTTGAGTTCCGCTGCTGGTGAGTTGATCCAGTGAACACGCTCTGTTAGCTGGTTAGACTCAATGAGCTACACAGCAACACGAACACAACAAGCATGTTTAAAGCTCAACAGATTTGAAGCGGGAAAGATGGGAGTAACGTGATAACAGGCATCGGGAAAACATTCACTCGATAAGGGCATGGTAGTGTTATAGTTATGTTGAACGAACAGTTCACTCCCTGTGTGAAGTGTAGCGTTACGTCCACAAGCACTCGCTGTGTGAAGTGTAGCGTTACGTCCACAAGCACTCGCTGTGTGAAGTGTAGCGATACGTCCACAAGCACTCGCTGTGTGAAGTGTAGCGTTACGTCCACAAGCACTCGCTGTGTGAAGTGTAGCGTTACGTCCACAAGCACTCGCTGTGTGAAGTGTTGCGTTACGTCCACAAGCACTCGCTGTGTGAAGTGTAGCGTTACGTCCACAGTTCACTCGCTGTGTGAAGTGTAGCGTTACGTCCACAAGCACTCGCTGTGTGAAGTGTAGCGTTACGTCCACAAGCACTCGCTGTGTGAAGTGTAGCCTTACGTCCACAGTTCACTCGCTGTGTGAAGTGTAGCGTTACGTCCACAGTTCACTCGCTGTGTGAAGTGTAGCGTTACGTCCACAAGCACTCGCTGTGTGAAGTGTAGCGATACGTCCATAAGCACTCGCTGTGTGAAGTGTAGCGTTACGTCCACAAGCACTCGCTGTGTGAAGTGTAGCGTTACGTCCACAAGCACTCGCTGTGTGAAGTGTAGCGTTACGTCCACAAGCACTCGCTGTGTGAAGTGTAGCGTTACGTCCACAGTTCACTCGCTGCGTGAAGTGTAGCGTTACGTCCACAAGCACACACACAAAGAAACGCACGGCTGAGAGAAATGTAGGGGAGTGCGCAGCACATTTAAAAGCGTCTTTTGGGCATACTAACGTCCTGCGGGCGCACTGTTTGCTCGGTGCGGGAGTACGCAACCTCTTTGTGTGATGGCATTGCCGTATTAGACCGGGACTCATTGTGAACACACAATACATATTATCCCTGCTACACATGTACATATACAACAGAGCATGGCTGATGTGAAACTCCTTGTTGAAAAGAACACAATCCTGCGTTCTCCTTGCAAAGCTGTGCGCAATCATTGAGGTGATTCCTGTGCAGAATATGATAGCTCAGCTAGTAGAATTGTATGCGAATGTTTCCCTCGTGACAAGCAGCTACTTAATGTTAGCACTCACCCCTGACATAAGGCGAGAGTTAGAAATCGATGACGAGACGTTGACGGCATACACCTGCACACCAGGAGTGTTGCAAACAAGATACGGGGCAGAGAAGAGACACAGAGGGAGCACAAACAGAAAACTCAGCGTCGAAACGTCGAAAACCAAAAATCACTTGAGTGAGGAGTCCAGTTGCCATCTCTGCATTATTACAAGACTCACAAAATAGTTTCAAAAGTCTCCTCAACTTTCATAATCATTTTCAGGGAATGGTAGAGAACAGACAGGAATATTCTCATGTTGAAGTATAGCTGAGGCGGGTGAAATCTAACCCCATGAACATGGCAGCTGTGGGATTGACTGTACAGACCTAGCACTGAGCGTAGCATGCTGTGTAGTGAACATGACTACTTGTCAAGTACTTTATTCAGGAGTTTGGATTTCACATTGCCAACACTGTAGTGACTCGTTCACATACCGTCATATTAGGATTCAGGGTGGCGCAGAGCAAGGGCAGGAAAGACGGACTGCCTAGGTACAAGCAGACGCTAGCAGTGGTTGGAATCTACAGACAGACAGACACACAAGGATACCGGAAGGGGAATTACAACATGCAGCAAGCGAAGCCATGAGGTCCCTCGCTCTCTTTTCTCGCATTCACTCACGTACTATTTACATTAACTCGCTCGCTAAGCCCCCCCCCCCCCCCCTTCCTCCCTCATCCTCACCCATTCATTTATTCATTCACCTACTGACTCACACACACCCTCAATCCCCCCCCCCCCCCACACACACACAAACGTTCTCTCTACAAGGAATTCTAGTCAAAGGAAGACGTGCTCCTCAAAGGCAAGAGGAATCATAGTTGAACATCTTCTCATGGATATCATTTGAGTATTGATGTAAGGGCAGCGTTGTTGTACTGGCAGTATTGATGTAAGGGCAGCGTTGTTGTACTGGCATCATTCCACAAACCATGACTACAGATACTGAGTGCAGTGACAACATGCGTCCACATAACACAGCATTATCTAACACTGGGTCTCGGGATTTGGTCCTCTGCACCGAGCTACCTGTCCTGGGCGCTTACCTCACGCAATACATGCGACCAAGCAGTCATCTTGGCCGGGTCATTGATGTCGGAGCAGCGCTCCCTGGTCCAGGTGGTGTGCGCACCACATCGACACAGCGGCCTCTCCACCGACAGTGCAGTTTCCACTGTTGCCTCGGGGCTGCATGGCACAGGTGGACAAAGAGAGGGATAGACAATCGGTTGAGATTATGCGCATGAGGCCGCTAAGCTCACATAACAGGATCACGATTTGGTGCTGATGCACGTGAGGCGGGGGAGAAAGAGACGGACAGGTGGCCAAGCAGATGAGTAGACTCCTGTCTAAACCAATTGAACTCTGTCACAGCAATACATCACAAGCCATCAGTTATCGAGAGATGAAGGGAAAGACTGAACCGTGATTAGAACAGACAGTGCATGAGCACGGCAGAGCGGTACAGGCCCTCTCCAGTTTCCAAGTGCAGTAACCAAGAGTACATAATCCACAAGAGTGTGCAACTGCCTGCACAACCTTGCTGCGACAGCAGAACTTCACATCACGTGACATGGTTCAAGAGGTTACGCTGGCAAACAGTGCAAAGTGAGCACAAGAGAGTTGAGCCCAAAGCAGGGTTGCGTACAACCCTGTGTCTATCATGCACAGAGTGCAAAACATGTGTACGGGTTCGCCACGTGATGTGAAGTTCCGCCGTCTCAGACCACGTAGCTGGAGTTGCACGCTCTTGAGAGTTATGTACTCTTGTTGTAAACTTAGCATGACGTCCTTTACCAACAGATACACTGCACATATTCGCACACCAGGACAGTGGCTGAGTCTAGTCGTTCACGGCTAGCAGTGCATCCTGTACAGAGTAGTGGACTAACCTGGGGTTGACAATCTTGCGGATATCAAACCAAATGGAGTATTCGTCATGAGCAAAGTCCACTGCAAGCTGATCGCCTTTAGAAAAAGAAGAGAAAAAAACTTTAAATATGCAACGTGGAGACAATATTCGTAATAATAATAGCGATGAAAAATATAAAGTGTGCAGGCATAGTCATGATATTCCACTGACGATTGTGACAAGAAAACGTTCTGCGCATAACACTACGTTGGCTGCCTTGTTCGTGATACGAGTGTGACGAACTTCATAATGATATTATTTCATCGCTATAGAAGAAAAACTAGACCTAAGAAAAACCTCACAAGATAGAACGATTGCACACCAACGCACTAATGAGCAAGCAATACCTAGGAGAGAATGACAGAGACATATAGAGTGAGAGAGATTCACAAAGGATAGAAGATGGCCCCACACATACCTTCTTCAGCAAGAATCGGCTCTGGAAGAAGGAACACAACTGGCATCCAGTGTTCACGCCATTGCGGCTGAAATGGACACAAAACAGGGAAGCATACACTTGCATTTGTTGAGAGCTTTCAATATCTAGATGCAGCAAAGTATGAACCTATCGTTCTCAGCAAAGACGGCCCTCATAACCAAACCAACCTCAAGGTCGTGGAACCATGGGCACAGCAGGGGCGTAGCAGCCGCTCCGGCCGGTCCGGCTTTGGCCGGACCACTTTTTCGCCCGACCACGACCACCATAGTAAAACAATGCCAAAAGTGCCCAGAATGCAGGATTTTGCACCCTAATTTCAAAAACATTCCGGGGGGAGATCCCCCCGCAGCATCCCTGGCCGGACCACCGCCAACGGCGGTGCTACGCGCCTGCACAGGAGGCAGCAACCTGAAAACTCTTCACATGTCAACCCTTGCTCAAAAAGTCACCATGCAGGGTAGCTTATACAGCAGTTTTAATGTACAGTAAAACCTGCCATGGCGACCACTCTGACAAGGCAGCCACCTGCCCTGGAGGACCACTACAACCAAGACCAAGGAATGTAATTTCTAGTCAAATGACCCAACATAAGGAGACCACCCGTACACAGGGACCACATTTGGAAGGTCCATCGAGTGGTGGCCTTAGAGAGGTAATTATGATGTCGCGTCTGTAACATCATCCCGGCTTGAATTCCATGAAGGGTCCCTCTGTAGCTAAGCAACGCCACTGCGAGACTGACCTTTTCGGTTCCCTGCCTATGCCAGCTGGGTGCCATGGACAGGACAATGTCCGTGCCGCGGTGCATCAGCAGATCCCACCAGAAGACGACACCATGGCAGGGCACAGCACTACCGCTACCACTGCCACTGGACGCTGGGCCGGTTTTCTTGCGAGCAGGCAGGACCTTCATGACGCTCGTTGCCGGACGTGGATTCTTACAGTACTGCTCTAGGTCTTTCATCGAGTCTAGCTCAAACCTTGACAGCAACAAGACAGTAGAGAGCAGTACAATGCAATCAAATGCAAACGCAAGACATGCTTATAAAATGAGTCGCACACTCAACAATATAGAAAGGAAAAGGACATATGGATACGAGTTAAGAGTAACTCTCTATCACTGTAACTAGATACTATATACAGTCGGAAAGTGCAATAACTAGGCACAAAACTGACAGACCTCAGACTAGTCCATCACAATGTCATGCATGAGGAGTACCGTAGGAGTTCGGCTTTCGGCTTGTACAATTCGTTTTCGCAAAGCTTCCTCCTTCTTTACTCATCTTTGATAGTTACGACCCACCCAAGTTGGGTGGTGTGCTGCTTTGCTGCTTCGAATTGTAGTTAGACCGCTTTGTCAAATATCCTACTGGTCTCGTCATCGTCCAGTAACAATCGACATTCTTTGTTCCGTTGGGACTGTAGCTTGTGCTCGTTTTCGTTGCGCTTGCCTTCCCCTCTTTATTCTTTCCATAACCTTGAACCTTCCAAGTTGGAAAGCTGTTGGTTAGCGCTACGGAGATGTGTTGAAGCTAGGTGTCAGGACGTCGAATGTCTCAGTACTCTGTCAGTTTTGTGCCTAGTTATTGCACTTTCTGACTGTATATAGTATCTAGTTACAGCGATGGAGAGTTACTCTTAACTCGTATCCATCTGTCCTTTTCCTTTCTACATTTATTTATGGCTCAACATCCGAGTTTCAAATTACACTCAACAATATTGGATTTAAAAGGCATATCAGCACATAAAACACAGGGAATGTGACGTATATTGGATACTTCAGATGTAACAGAATTTGCTGCAACAAAGGAATTTAAAATACGTTAGATTTACTTCCTTGCGATGATCTCGTGTTGTACAGTAAAGGCAAAGGTTAGGGTCCCTGGTTCGAGTCCTGGCGGTGACAGTCAATTTTTCTTCTTCAGACTTTTCCCGTTTGCGTCTTCCCCTCAAAACAGTGAATATGTTAAGGTAGCTCATAGTCAACTCTGACAGTGGGGGCAAGAGGTGTTAGAGACCTCCTGTTTCAATGATCTTGACATAGTGAGCGCGGTGCAGCTCATCTCCTCTTCTTCATCGCCTCTGTTGCCCCCTCCCCATCCCAGAAGAGTCTCCCGGGGGTGGAACTAATGATTGCTCAAACTGGGATACGAACCAATAAAGAGGTGATGTCAAATGATGCCTATTTGGTATCAAAGAGGATAATAAGCAAGGTTGCCATCACTTTCCTGTCCACCCTCTCCTCCTCTGGAAGCCCACACACTCCCGCTATTCAAACAATCCACAGTTCCCCGCGTGAGACACTCACGTCTGAATGAGCGAGGCATCCGACATCAGTGTGATGTCATCGGTATCCCAGAGCCGTTCCACGTGCAGGTCATAGCCACAGGGTGGCCCTCGGCAAGACGCCATGCCGTCGGGCAGTGCCAGCTTGCTGCTTGTGTGCGACTGCAGTCCAGCGCACAGTACACACACACACATACAGGTACATACACACAAGCACACACATACATACACATAGGCACACACACACATAAGCACACACAGAGAATAAGATAACATGCCAGTACTTCAAGGGTGGGGGTACTTGGACCCGGTTGCAAAAAGAACACCGGGTCATTTGTGAGCCGGTTGGGAGTATATCAGGGAGTCCTCAGACCCCCCGACATACAATAGCCGTACTTGAATGTACCCGGGACTGACCCGGTTGCAAGAGTTGTGCCAGGTACACGTGTACCAGGTTGGTTTGAAATCATGGAGCAGACACTGGAACATGTACCGTAAAGTATCGTTGATCCGCTCCCTCTCTGATTCCCGCCCCCAGTCGATTTTCTACCTGTGAAGCGACTTCGGCGTATACAACGAAATACGATGTTGAACCGACGCATGCACTGCTGTACACAATTTGTGCCAATCCAGGATGAACATGTGCACAATCCAGCACATCGAGTATGATCCTCCAAGTTGTTATACATCGTACTGCACTTGACAGCCTTGATCTAATTCCCGCCCCCTGCCGAAAACCCAGCTGGGAAGTGACATGGTGTGGGGGGGGGGGGGGGGAGGGCAGATCAACGGTACTTTACGCTATATGTGGTACAACTTACGTGTACACAGATGTGCACTTCTATCATGACACGCATGTAAGTGGAAGGGCAGCTGGCCTGAAAATGCACAATAATGCCCGGGGTCGGGGAAATGCCGTCCACTAGTTGGTGTCAAGTACAGTCAGACCTCGCTTATCCGGTCCTCGTTTATCCGGATCCCTCGCCATCCGGAAGAAAATTGTTGGCCACTGATTTACAGCATATGCCATGCACACATACAGTATGTGTGTTCGATTATCCAGTTCCCTCGCCTATCCAGATATTTTTGTGGAAAACTGATGTGTGCGGTTAAGCGAGGTCTGACTGTACCATCCACAAGTCAATGTCTTGCACACCAGACTTTTAGGATCCGGACTGAACATGTACCAAAAAAAACACCACTATAGTCAAACCTCCTAAGGACAAACACCAAGGGGCTCCCTGGATTTGTTTGCACTGACAGAAGTTCTTCTTCTCCGTACTATTAGGATGCAATGCACAAGAAGACAATAGTATTGGTAGAGAGGAATGGCGACCCTCATCATGTACATCTACACAGCGAATACTCTCTCTCTCTCTCTCTCTCTCTTTGAATGTAAAAAAGGTTCGCACATTTGAGTTAGCGCCTGCTATGCAATTGTGTTGAGAAACACAACCAGCTTAGGAAGTAATTAGTTTCGCTTGTGCCAGGCCATCATGCCTGATTATACCAGGGTGGCAGATGCAGCACATAGCGGCGAGGGCGATGTGGTAAGTCTCACAGCCAATGCCCGACAAGGGGGGGGGGGGGGGTTGAACTTCGTTAGCTGCACCCATGTTACCACCACTCAGAGCAGTGAGTACTGCCCAGCAGCTGTACACAGTGAATCTGAAGTGATCTGGCCCATGCAGTCACAGCGACCCGTGTACTAGTAATACAGTGAAACCTGTCTAAGACGACCGCTCTAAGGACCTTCAAAATGTGGTCTCTGTTACCAGGTGGTCTCCTTATCCAGGGTAATTTGACTGAAAATAGCATCCCTTGGTCCTGGTTTCAGTGGTCTTCCAGGACAGGTGATCACCTTGACAGGTTTTACTGTAATTCATAGACAGTGGTGGTGCAGGTGGTCAGTGAAGGGCATGAGCACACCCTGGCTCTCTCACGTTCAATCCACCTGAGCATACGGCCGGGCAGTGAAGCATACTGTCACCACCCACCACACACCAATGCGAAACACGCCAGCGTCAGACGCAGGTGTGTGGAAATGAGAGAATAAATAATTTGATAGTTCTTCAGGTGAGAAAAGACAACATAACCTCTAACAATAACATGCTGATGTGCACATAGTTTGAGCAACTCAATCATGCGCAAACAACAGCAAGTCAGAGTAAAGAATGCAGGGCACACGACTGGGCGTCGGTGGTCACAACACGTGATATTACATTGCACAATGAAAGAGGCAGTCCTGCTGCACTATAAACTTTGGTCTTTGAAAGTCGGGAATAGGGCAGAAACGTGACGCAAGCATTTTTCAACAAGAAACAAAACGGTTTGTGTGCCTTGTGAAAAGGCATACCCTACGTCTAAAAGAAAAATAAGCAACTGCTGTACTAGAAAATTAGAATCGCACAAAATCTTCTTCACAAAATTTGAACAAACCTGCATCGTGACTCAGAAGTGGGACTCAAAAACACGACAATGAAAACACGACTACGAAGATAACAAGTGCATGAAGTCCAGGGAATCATCCATCCATCCATGTGACAAACTGAATTCAGAGTGCTGCTGGTCAGTGCAAAACAGGTTAATGTTGCTGTGTCCGCTGTTGCTGTGGTTGTGGCGAGATAGACTGAGCAGTTGGGGACAAGATAGTTCTGGGAAGCTAGCAAGTACTGACTACTGTCTGCAAACTCATGTTCAACATGATGGCCTGTTCACATGCCGCACTCAACACGCACGCACGCACAAGGATTGCAATGCTTCGCCATACAACTGCTAGTCTCCTGTACTAAGCTGTACTGTCAATAGCGTCGCTAAGGAACGCTGCACTAGGCGACACTTCCCACCGTTCAGATTGATGGTGGATAAGCCAAACCTATCCACATCCCGCCACCCCTCTACTGCCACTGGAAGCAAGCAGCTCAGCTAGCAGAGCTGATCAAGATCCATGGTTTCGCGTCACCGTCGGAATGAAATCCATCGAGGTAGGTCGTCCGAAGAGCAGCTTTCGCAGCTGAGAGCTAATGTCAGCGATGAGCTGGGGATTATCCCGTTGGAAGTGGTGCGAGTGCACCAGGATCGTGTAGAACGTTAGCGCGGCGATGTTGTAGACGAAATTCAAGACAATCAGCGGCACTAGCAGGACGAAGAGAACGATGAAGACGGGTAGTAAGATGGTCAATTCCACCAGTCGTACTAGAAAAGACCAGACACTCTGGCGATTACACACCTGGTCGTAGCCAGGCAGGGAGGACAGCGCCTCCATCTCACAGCCTACGTCCATCTTGTGCGAAGGACCACGGCCGCCCAGTGGATCTACCTGGGATCTACCGCTCAGTTCCTGCTCTCCGCTCCAACACCAAGCAAGACTGACAACTACTAAACTGCAAAAAGAAAGCGTCCATCTGCACCAAGTTCCAACTGCAACACGTCCGTCCTCCTGTAGCTGTCGACAAGTAGGCATACGTCTACAACTAACTCATAAAATAATAAAATTATTATTATGATCACATGCACAACGCATGCACACGCGTGCACGACAAACCGCTCATGATGATCATGTCAAGATCGCGAGATCGAGAGAGCTGTATAGTGAGAAAGTATTTTTGAAAAACAACAACACGTGCGCACACATACAGCGCATAGTGTACCGCGTGTCCCGTCGCAGGCGCGCTGGCGAGGGCTAGGCTAGCAGCTAGCCGCCGGTGTGAAAACTTGCGCCGCGACGGTGGTGCACGCTTCGACATTTTCACAGATTACGAGACTCGAGAGTCGAGATGAGAGCTTGTGACTTCCAATCCTGATCGTAGCTAGCTGTCTACTCGCGCTACACGCAGTACGGAAACTACTGTCTGGGAAAGACAACAAAAGTCAACACAACCCTTGCTCGTAAACCAAGATGAAAGGTGACCGTGGTGACAGACTAAGAGAAAGAAAAGGAGGACAGACATGATTCTGACAAGGAACTGGTCGGGGCTCGCTGCACTTTTGCAGATCTCCGTGAAACTCCATTGACATTGTCATTGACATCCGCCCTATCCGTTAATCCGGGCAGTCCAGTTTAGGCGGTTTAGGCAGTGCTTGCCACTCGTACTTGGACATAATTCCTTAGAGCCGTTGTGAGAATGACAATCACAGTAAAACTCCCCTAATCGGGGCAGATTGGGACGGAGCACTGCCCGTAACTACACGTAGGAATTGCCCGTAACTCAGAACAAACAAAAATGTACAATGTACTTGCTGAGTGCAAGTAAACCTTTTTTTATTTGCCAGTCAAGACAATAGTGTCTTGGGACCGTTTTTCGTTGAAATGTCATTTTTGTGACTCTAGATGGGTTGGAAAGGTGCCTGGCATGGTAGACGGACGTGACCGGATTGGAGACGTCCGGATCTGGGGAGTTTACTGTGCTAGTAACAAGTTATCCGAGTGCCAACTATCCAAACGATCAATCATCCAGATAGACTTTACTGTTGAGTGAAATCTGAAGGGGAGAAAAATGAGTTTTCCGGCATTCAATTTCCATCCACGGCTACACTATTGCACTGGTCGGCGCAGGCCCGCCGAGCATGACATACCATCGTGCCGGTGTCCGCAAGACTCACTATCACACATCCCTATGGCCCACGGTATCATGGGGGGGTAATCAGTTCAAGGAGCTGGGGTGTGTGGTATTCCTCTGCCATGATCGTGGCCCGGTGGGACAGACGTACCGGCAGGGGCGGATCCAGAAGCCTAAATTTCGTAAATGTATTACTGGCAACCATATCCGTGTCCATGTACATGTCCATGTATCCAGTTTTGCCTACTTTTGAAGTATACTGGAACACCCCCCCCCCCCCCCCCCCCTGTAGAGATCGCTGGATCCGCCGCTGCATACCGGTGCTCTCCATTCCTAGCTTCCTGCTGGAAGTAGTGCATCAGGAACATGCCACACCCATTCGTCCCGCTCTCATCTCACAGCACAAGGTGACAGAGCTTCACTTCACAACCAAGCGGTACATGTAGTGGTTCCAGACACAAGACACGAGAAAAACAGCCCATCATGGCAATCGACGTAACGCACCACGGTGTACAGCAGTGTGCGGGGAACAGCGCGAGAGGTCAGCCAGCAGTGAGCATGTAATGCCAGGGGCCGCACTGGAGACAGCGAGGCCAAAGTCGCACCAATAATTTAATCCGAATTTCCCAACTTCGAACTCTTGTCTCCCCGGAATCTTTTTGATAATTTAGTCTTGTAATGTTTGAGGCAATAAAGTATGGACTACTTGGGCCCAACTTTCCAAAAAATGTCCCAGGGGAGTGTCTGGGACCCACCCAGCTCATACCAATGAGGAATACTATCCGACGCCAATGAAGGGGTCCTACACAGTCACTGTGGCAGTAACTGATTGAAATCGAAAGGGCAAGTGTGCCCTCCTACCCCAGTCAAGTTTAAAAGTGCTCTAACTGCCCTTGCTGGTTAGACGGATCAATGGCATTGTGTTCTGCTTGCTCTTTCCTTTGCATTGTTGTTTTCATCACCATTGATTTCACGATCTATTTATTTTTGGGCCCGTACAAGAGGCTTTGGTAGTAGTACAGTCATACAGTCTCTTGGAAAGGTATTATACAATGATATGTAGATCTACACCGTAAAATACGAGATTCGCCCTGCACTGGTGCAGTCGTGTACTGCTGGACATGGACTGAGCTGAGAAGTACAGTGCCCATGATCCACACTACACTGTACTCTGTACACCATTGTACAGATCTACGGAAGATTTTTTCCGAGAGCGCTGCATTGCCAACTACTGTAACTACATTTTTCCTACACTAGTTTATCACTCCCTTAGTATTGACTCCCATAGATTTTCGCCAGACCTAAGCAGTCAAATATTCCTGCATATTTCAATCCTTAGGGCTATATTGACCGCTTATATTTGACTCCTTTTTAGCGATAGAACACATGCTTTGGTTAGTCGTGATAAATCTAATATTGACTTCGTACTTGGTCAATATAGGAAATAAATGCCGAGGTCTTTTACTCGGCTTTTATTTCCTATTGACCTCGTACTCAGTCAATATTAGATACATACAGTCTTGACCTGCACACACTTTGTCTTGTGAATCGCGGACGCGGAGGCGTTCTGACGTCGCTGTTTGTTCACAAACAAAATGCACAGTCATGCTGCTGCCGAGCCCCCGACATACCCCCACAGTACTCAGCCGATGATTTCGCACACACCTCCAAAACCGGCAACAGTGCGACACTAGCGACAGGAACAAACCACTTGAAAGCTCTTCACTTCTGAATCAGTGATAAGACTTCACATTACACAAAATCTGGCCTCTGTCAAAAGCGAATGTGGGTGTAGTGCCTATGGCCCTGGCCTGGGCTATCGCCGGCGAGTGGCACGCGAGAGCCAGAGCTCTCCAGATCAACGCGGAACTGCTAAGTTGTTTCGCACTTCTTGGGGAAAACATTGCGGAAGTACCGGTAATTGTAGCGTGTATAGCGAAGATGCTGCTGCTACGAGAATGTCGAGCTCCTTGTCGAAAAGTAAAGCCGAGTCCGACCATTCTGACGGACAGTAAAGCGCTCCATTCGACTGCCACGGCGTTCTGTAAAAGCGCGAGGAATCGCACAGGGCACACAGTCCGAGCTGCAGCCCTGCCGACGACAGCAAAGTGGAACTCCGCAACTGGATGAGCTAGCTCACGGCGCGCACGAGGCCAACCCCAGCCGAGACAGGCTTCTTATCACCTCCGCAAGCTATTCCGTCGTGGCCAGGGACAAGCACACAGGCAAGTCACCTCATCAAAGAAATAGTTCTCGTAACTGCTGCGGTGTGGCGGCGTTCCTTGGCCGTTCAGGCTTTTGTCTTGACTCCCGAACAACAGGCAAAACGCCGGTACGGCCGGGCCGGGCAGGATAGACTCGACAGCAACATGTAGAGAGGTGTGTCGGGGGCATGTCCAACGCGCGCACGTGAACTGAAAGGCAAAGAACGCGACTACACCGCTGTGTGCATGTGTCACCGGCGTACCGGTAACTCCAACAACAGACTACACTCTCTACAGTCAGACGACAGTGGCCGTGACCTGGTGACAGCAGCGACTAAACAACTGGCAAGTCGACCCGACGCAAGATCAAGCGGAAGCTGCCACCAGATTCCAGAATCAAACTCACCCAGGTTAGTCAGTTAAAAACTGTTTTACCTTTTAATAGGCTAGCCTAGGGCTAGGTCGCCCAGGACTCAGAGTACAATCAGAGGATGATCCTTGAAGGCAGGGACTGGTTAGAGTGCTGCTAGGTCAGCAATCCAGAGTGCCCCCCCCCCCCACACACACAAGGTCCCGTGGAATAAAATTCGCCTCCAATTGCGCTTCTTGCTCTACGCGATCATCTGGAGATGTGGACCTAGTGTGTGTGTGTGTGTGTGTGTGTGTGTGAAGTGAATACAGTGTTGGGGCTCACCATGTAGATGAACATACCACCAGACGCCCGCAGAACATGCCTGCATCTGTATCATTGGGGAGGCGATTTCGATATGCCGCCATCGGGTGTTTTACATGGAGAGGCATAATATGATCGCAGATACAGTCATCATGCCCAAACCAAAAACATTGCAAGTACAATAACGTCATTCCAACGGAAATGCCATTCAAATAGATTCCGTAAAAACTACCGGCAACATCTAACAGCAAAGCTGTGCTAGGTGAACTACGACCCCAGTACCAAGCCGGTGCCCCTGAGCCACTTCCCATTACCAGACTGTATGCATATACGTACCCTTGTACTGTGCTACGCACATCGTGCACACATTCTGAATGCAGTAGAGCCTGAACGAGCTCACTAATACCCAGCTAGCATTCGCAGGATGTCCGTTTTAAAGTGCTCCGCGCCAAATATGCACTTCAGATCAGAGTTCACTTTGCAAAGCGCACCGTCTAATACGTGGTGACTCCACTGTGTATAGACTGTTGCACATGAAAACAAGAACGGAATACAAGGCTGCCCCCCCCCCCCCCCCCCCGGTTTTCTTCGGCACTCGACAGTCCTGTATTCGTATCTGAAAAAAGCATGACATCGTCATTGCCCGTCTGTCCATGTGCCTCAGGTCTCAGGTGCCATGTCGGTAGCAACGGTCAATGCTGTCAACACGCTCGGCGGCACTGTGCAGGATGTGAGCAGACTCAGGTTTGCTGAACAGGCGATGCTGAGCCGTTACCAGAGCACCAGCAGCAGCTCATGCGCAGATGAGACCAGTCATGAGCAGCACGGTGGTGAGGAGGATGCACACAATGCCAGCAGCAGCAGCAGCAGCAGCAGCAGCACAGTGCCAGATGAATACTGCGATGAAGCACAGTCTACAGCACACACAGAGTTTGTGCACGTGGTGAGCAGGGAGGTCGATCTTCTGGAGCACGTCCTGAGCTTCTGCAGCGACGCCGATATCGTGAGCATTGCCCAGACCTGCACATTCATGGACAGGAATTGCCAACGCATGCTGAACAAGCGCAAGCAAGCCTGGCGCAGGCGACTGCTGCAGCCTCGAGCGGATGGAAAATGTCGCACGGCAGAGTACGCCGTCAACTTGGATCAACTGCTGCGCATCGGTAGACTGGTTGATGCACAGCGCGACGCTACGAACACGTCCAGTGCCATCACGATGAGTCAACTGGAGGACATCTTGCAAGTGGGCACCCAACTGCAATACACCACACACCTGTTTGACATAGTGCACATCACCGAGTACGACTCACTGTCAAAGATCAGTCTGATAGCGGTGCTGAGCCAAGGCCAGCAACAACTGAGTTTCTATCGCATGGTGTGGCGCTCGGCACACGGCCACCCGTTCCATCTCTTCCCGAAAGAAACACACAGAGTGGCAGAGAAGCAGAGCGCCTATCGCCAGTTCTTCGCGCCGTACTTCGCCACAAACTGCCGCCGTCTCTTGCCCTGCTATGCAGTGCTGCCGGAAAGCAGCACCGTCGTGCAGGGCTGGCGTGACCAGAAGCCAAGCGTCGACAAGGAGCTACTACCACGCCAGCAGATGCTGATCGGCATGTTCCCGGTGGATCGGCTCAATCTCATTCTGGAGTTGTGCACGGGTTACGAAGGTGGGCACACACTACACGATGACACCGTCCAGCAACAGCAACAGCGACTAGTAACGCCTCGCCTCATCACGCCGGCACGTTTCTACAACGCCCTGGAGTACTGCGACGGCCAGCACCAGCACTTGTGGTGGGTGTAGGGACGGGTGCTGGACATCAACCAAGCACGGCAGCGTGACAAAATACTTCCTTGCCATTACCAACGCGTCCTTTGCCTGACTCAATTGCTCATGTGGATAGCTAGAATCAAGCATCGCATCTCTTGTCCTGTAATGATAACAAGCCATGTCGCGATTTCTGCAATGCGAGCAGATCCAAGAGAGGCTGTTCAAACCGGACAGGACCATTTCTGAACTGCTTTACGAGTATACTATCTAGAGGCCTATCCAAGTGTATGTCTTGAGTCTTGAGTCTTGAGTCTTGACTGTGTATACAGTTATAGAGAAGCAATATCCCAGACACAAGCCCACATGCTTCCTACAATAATTATAGACATGTTGATAGTAGTTGATGTTGACGGTGCGTGTTTTTGGCCGTAATGCCTCAGGTCAGCAGAGCCACCAATGCCCCACCATCACTGCTGCGTCTCGGTGCAGCCCCTGCTCAGTAGTTGTCACGTTTGTCCTCATCTCAGTACCATCAGTACTATAGTCTTTCTTTGTTATCTTCGAGCTGGGAATGTGAACATAGTAATAAAAAAAAAGTATAAACAAAGTACATGAATCAGTTTCCTCTGAGACAAGAATACGATAAGGCCACACCAAGTCATTTCTATGTTTCGCGTTACCGCGCGCGTACCTTTTCGAATCCTTGACACGGAAAAAAACTCCGAGACAAGTCAATCGATGGCTGTTCTGGCGAACATTCTCTAGCCAGTATGGCAGAGCAGAGGTTATCAGCTTCTCGATAATCTTGCATTCCAGGCGATGGTACGTAGAAGGTGCGAGAGATGACAATTTCTATTTTCCTAGCCCTACGATACTGCCTGTTCACCAAGCGAGCGGAGATTCCAGGTGTCAAGGACTTCGAGATTTTCCACGATCGTGATGGAGCCACAATCGTGATGGAGCGGAATTCCACTCGACTTATGTCAATGTGCAGAAGGAGCCATCCATGAAATTTGTTATTGTATCGCTCCAGCCCAGTCGGACAGTTAGTAGTGATATTCTGTGTGCAACACGGCGCAGTACACATAGAATGGAGTTTTGTTTTTTCCTCCGTTTTTGTTTTTATTCCGCCCGCCCGCGTGCCTTTTCCAGAAAAATGTCCGACGCCAAACATAGAATTACCTTGGTGTGGCCTAATACTCAGAAAAAGGACACACTTCGAGCTCTTTACGAACATCTTGAAAGTTTTTGGTTTCACAAGACTACTAGTAACTTAGTATACTTTCAAGTCAGGTGAAATACAGGCAAAGGGAAAGGAACAAGAACAGTGGATTAAAGCTGTGTATATTCACACAAAGAAACCCAACATTTGCAAACAGAAGCAAATTAGATTCGCACTTAGGCTGTTCGGCAGGTCGTCAAAACCTCGTTAGTTGTCTATTTGTTGTCTCTTGTTGGGTTTTCTCGCACTTGCACCTTTGTGTCACTATTGCTAACAGTTATGTCTATGGGTCACTCTTAATCCACTGTTCTTGTGTTCAAGATGTTCGTAAAGAGCTTGAAGCGTGTCCTTTTTCTAAGTACATGAATCATTCTTGATAAATCATGATGTATGGTGTGTTTGAATATCGAATTCGGAGGTTGGCGAGCTCTACCCCGCCGATTATGGAACGAGGAACTTGATTTTCAGTGTTATCCTATGTCTGTGTATGCAGCTTTAAGTAGTTCTCTATCTTCTATATCAGTGACACCACAGTAGAATCATACTGACAGATAGCGTTGCACAGAGAGGCCAACGGTAATCTAGAATTTATTTGCCTTTTGAATTTCTCCAGGCAATCCGCGGGCACTGTAGCTGCATTCTCCGACTTACAGCAATTATATGAGAGCTACCATAGCCACTACCGGTAGGTGTTTATGAACGTGGCACTACTGGACCAAATAGCAACCATCTTACTTCACCACACTCTTTAAATTAGAATTGAAATATTATCGAGCCTTGCTGTCTTATCATTTTGCCACAAGGTGAAATTTAAAAAAACCAAAAAAAGAACCTCTAATTGAACTCGGATGTAATGTAATGTAATCATGGCTAATAGGGAGCTTGAGTTTGTTCCAACACAAACCAGCTAGACAGCGCTTGGGCTGGTTCTCCACCCTAAACGGGGCGATAAGACTCACACGCAATCCAGGTCGCGAGACATGAATCCACACGCCATGGTGCAGTACAAGCATTGCAGTGGGGGAAAAAACCTGATTAATATGCTTGCATACCGGGTACCACATTGTTGATATGTTAACTACGATTGTTGATGTGAACATAGTCATTGGTGTGCATGCTACATGTACACATGGCATGCCTTGTCCATAGTTCATGTAGGAACAGATCAAACATACATGTACATCCTAGCAGTAACTTAAGTATAAGCGATCTTAGGACACAGAATTATCTCCATATTCACGGGTCATTATCCCTCTCTTTCTGCCCCCCCCCCCCCCCCTCTCTAGTGCACGTACATGAAGGCATCAAAAATAACATCGCCACCCATGACGTGTTAATCGGTCAGAATATCACTTGCAGCAGCTGTACATGTGCAGTACCTGCTGGAGAGCTGAGCAGTTTGTATCAACCATGACATTCTTAGTGCTACTTGCATTGACCACGCACAAACACACACACACACACACACACACACACACACACACACACACACACACACACACACACACACACATACACACACACACACACACACATGCACTCTCCCTGAGTCTTCACTACACCACCATCACGCACAGTGACGCACTGCTTACCTTCATGCCCCACACATTACATGTACACCATCAGTCTTTCTATGTTCACCCTACATAACGTCACAACTCTACAGCTCGCACTTTCATTCGTCCGTCCTGATTATCTGCCTGCTGCACGTTATACTCAGTTGCACACGCAGTCAGCCACCTTCCTTTTTCTTACACAGAAGTAAACGCAATCCCGTTGGAACGCATGACCTAGCCCTAGCGTTTCTCCCTGCTCCTCCTTCTCATGACTTCTCTGAATGATGCTACGTCTTCCTTTACTGCCTAGAAACAACTGGCCCTTTCTTTCTTTCAACTGATACATGTATCACATACACTGGAGCAAAGGCCACAGAACGGAGCTTGGCCGGATTTTGCAAATAAAAAGGCCTAAATTAGCACATTCAAAACGTGCAATGTAGACTGTGTGCATACTATCTGTACACAACTCTCTGGATGAAAGGGGTGGTGCGGATCTAAAGAAAATAGTGCAATGCTCCTACAGTCCTCCGATACGCATGTCGGATGTATTCCATTATCAGCCGGTCAAAACTCTGCAAAGCAAGGTATTTGTACCTGGCATATACAACAACCTCTATAGAGCGGCGAGCGGTGCCATTCAGCCTTTCAATAATACATCAGATTACCATATTTCCTCGAATAATAGACCATGCTCAAATAGTAGACCCTCCTAGAGGCCTCACGGAAAAATAGTAGACCATGCCCGAATAAGAGACCCGGTCTCTTATTTGAGTTCATCGCTTTGCGCATGCGCACTAAGAAAGCACGTGGTGGATCAAAAAAGGACGCGATTTTAGGTTGCGCAACTACAATTTTTGTAGTGGCTAGTGCTTCCTTTCATTATTTGAGCACGGTCCACTATATTTTCATCGGCACATCGCTGGAAATGGTGGATTTTTAACACGTCATAATAATAGAACTTCTATTATTATGATGTGTTAAAAATTCACCATTTCCAGCGATGTGCCGATGAAAATATAGTGGACCGTGCTCAAATAATGGACCATGCCCAAATAAGAGACCGGGGGTCCAACCCTCTTCAAAAAACAAACAAAAATTTCACGGTTCGCGTGAGACTCGGCTGGAAGCCGGGTTTTCCGCATCCGTAGGAACGCCACCACCCTTCAAGGATCAAGGCGCAGATGCAGCTCCTAAAGTGGTGGGAGGTGAGTAGATCAGCTCACCAGCAAGTAGTCAAAGACCGAAAATCCCATTCACTGCATCCATCAAAAAACAAAAGACCGGGTCTATTAATCGAGGAAATACGGTATCCTATTCAGCATCACCTTCTCTGGTGAGCCTTTTTGCAGGCGAAAACAGCTGTCAGAAGAAATCCTAGTATCAGTACTAGGAGTGAAACGGTTCGGGTAAGGAACCGGTTTTGGAACCGCCAGCTGAAAAGAATCGGGTACCTGTTCCGTCAAATTTCGAACCGAAACTCGAAAAATCTCGTTCTCGTACAAATACATGTACACGCCAAGTCTACTCGAGATTTTTAAATGTCTTACCTTACGATCACCGCCCTTCCAGAGGGTCCTCCTATCGATCCTGGTCACTACGAGCGTACCTTCTTCGCACATGGACTCTCCGATGTCTCGTTCTTGCTCGTAAAAATATGTTCTAACTTGAAAATATTTGTTACGGACGCATTTGGTCGGTCTGGAGAAAAGAGTGCATGGAACCGATACCCGAACCGTGGGAAACTATGCTGGCATTCGGGTACCCGAACATGAAAAATATGGAACCGTTTCACCCCTAAGATTCAGTACCCATAACCTTTATTTCGTTGTTGGAATTGTTGTTGTTGTGTGTGTAATGTCTACCGAGGGTAGCAGCTAGCCGCCTGAAGAGTGCATGGAGGAGAGGAATATGACACAATACAACTGTTGTTAATTCTCACCTGCCACTGAGCTTGCAGACTGGAAAAGCTCTGACAACTCGCCAGCCACTCGGAGCTGATCAGTTGAACGTAGCAGAGCGCCGATGCAGGAACAACAGCCGCATCGGGCTGTACAGAAGCAAAAAGAAAGCGACGTGTACGTGTATGCTTTAGGTAACTTCACCGGTGCTCCTCAAGTATGTGTTTTCACACTACTTAACGTAGACCGAACACTCACACATGGTCCCTTTGCTGCAAATACCTCTAGATGCACCAAATCATTAGGCATAAACTCCACGTCATGCCACCTAACTGGGCAGTATCTTACCGTCAGCATATTCTCAAAAGCGTGGAAAATCGTGTAGAGTCCACCTTCTCCAATCAGCTCCGAGTCGAAGACCTCCGTCACCAGGAGTTGAGCACGTTGGGGCATCGCACCTGAATCAGCGCTCACATCTGTCGAGCGGCGATCGATCAAGCTGATCTGTTTCTCAAAGCCGTTTGTCTTGATGCACTTCTCCGCAATCCGGGCCATCGGAGCATACGCCTGACAACAACGTGAACGCAAACATTCAAATACGAAATCACACTAGCGGCGGGACAATGCATTCTGGCACTATTGGTGGCACAGCAAGCATATCAGAAATAACAAGAACGTTCCCGTCAGTTCGCTTCTGAAGTTTATGGCAAGCAATCCTAACTGAGCCTCCAAGTGTTGACGTAGCAGCCCTCTCATGGTAGCCCATGGCAACCAAGAGGGCAGGTACGAACGAAGGAAGTCTAGGGTTCCCAGCAAAAAGGCAGTAGCCTGTTGGGACTCCCCTAGCAAAAAAAAACAAAACAAAAAACCTACTACTGCTACCACTAAGCATCCAGTAGCACAGATTCAGTCCGAAATGAAAACTACAGATACGGGACAGGGACAGTCAAGAATCAACCCAGTCCAGAGCGAAACCTCTCTAGTGTGAATGCCACTGAACGTGTGTCACATATTCCACCCTGCGATGACTCACCCAGAGGAAGAACACATGGGTTATTAACTCCAAGTTACAGGTGGTCTTTCTACACAGGTGTGCGTGGGCAGTATGTGACAGGTGGTCTTTCTACACAGGTGTGCGTGGGCAGTATGTGACAGGTGGTCTTTCTACACAGGTGTGCGTGGGCAGTATGTGACAGGTGGTCTTTCTACACAGGTGTGCGTGGCAGTATGTGACAGGTGGTCTTTCTACACAGGCGTGTGTGGGCAATATGTGACAGGTGGTCTTTCTACACAGGTGTGTGTGGGCAGTATGGGACAGGTGGTCTTTCTACACAGGTGTGCGTGGGCAGTATGTGACAGGTGGTCTTTCTACACAGGTGGGTGTGGGCAGTATGTGACAGGTGGTCTTTCTACACAGGTGTGCGTGGGCAGTATGTGACAGGTGGTCTTTCTACACAGGTGTGCGTGGGCAGTATGTGACAGGTGGTCTTTCTACACAGGTGTGCGTGGGCAGTATGTGACAGGCGATCTTTCTACACAGGTGTGCGTGGGCAGTATGTGACAGGCGATCTTTCTACACAGGTGTGTGTGGGCAGTATGTGACAGGTGGTCTTTCTACACAGGTGTGCGTGGGCAGTATGTGACAGGCGATCTTTCTACACAGGTGTGCGTGGGCAGTATGTGACAGGCGATCTTTCTACACAGGTGTGTGTGGGCAGTATGTGACAGGCGATCTTTCTGCACAGGTGTGCGTGGGCAGTATGTGACAGGCGATTTTTCTACACAGGTGTGCATGGGCAGTATGGCTAGTTGGGGACCTGAAAACTTCGGCAGTGAAAAGACCAGTACTCTATTGGCAGGCGGTCTACAGAGAGCGAAGTCCTCCGGTTCGATAGAGTGCTCGCTGCAGAAGCAGAGCAGTAACACACGAGTCACAGAGTACCACACGTCTGGTTTGTTGTAACTAGTAGTTTCATGATTGCCATCTGGCATGAAACTATTAGTTACGACAAACCAGACGCGTGGTACTCTGTGACTCGTGGGCAGGTGGTCTATATAAATTTATAAAATGCGGTTGAGCTACTCAATGGAATCCGACCGAGTGAGTCAACTTGGCGCAGTGCACTGGCTCACCAGCCCAGTGTTTGCAGGTGCATGGGCAGGTGCATGGGCAGGTGCATGGGCTACATAGTACAAGGTGCCCGGCGTGATGTTGACTCACACAATCGGATTGCATAGAGCAGCACTACACGTGAATGACTGTACAGTGCACTATGTTTGCTGGCTGTACCTCGACAGCTGTACCCTGCACGAGCACGTCGGCATGCTCCTGTTTGGCACGGCGCGCTGCCATCATTGAGAGCAGACCGGTGCCAGCGCCAATATCCAGCACATGTACGTGCTGCTGCGATTGCTCGTCACCCGCATCACCAGTGCCGGGCGAGGAAAGGAACTGGCGGCAGACATCCGTCACCGCGTAGTCAATTGCACGCTCATAGAGGACATTCTGAATGATACCAGCACACAGAGCAGTGAACACAAACACAGGACACATCAGATAAGTAGCAGACCATTCCTCGATCTCACTCACTACGCATTGTGCAACCAACTCTCTACTAGCATAAGATAGCCTTCACACAGCACAAAATCCCACATCAACTATCTTCTGATCACGGGCTGCAGAAGCACTCCACTGCCTCTCTATCAAATACCATCCAACAAACTTCTTCCTGAAGATACAAATGTTGCTCCTTGGTAATAGCAATGACAATGTAATTATGTTTCTCACAAATGAACTGTGCTAGCAGAGGCAAACTTACTCTCTCGTGATCATGCAACATGTCCCCGTACTGAGACCTGTAGGAAATGTGTACATGACCGCATCACAGACACACAGCACATTACCACAAGATCACAACATGGCACCAACGGACATCTCCCTTGTACCAGAATGGGTCATACATCATGACAATAAGTCCCAAACCCAAGCCAATAACCTGTGAACAACGCCAACATATGAGTACTCGTAAAATGCGAACACGTTGTCCTGGATGTTATGATGATAATGCAAGCACACCGCACAGATGAGCAGTTTTCGCAATTTTTCGGCGAATGTAGTGCTTGTAGCTGAAAGAGCACGTGAGATGTTGACCGGTTCGTACCAAACAACCCCGTGCATTTCGAGATTGTGGCAGTTTGGCGTGGTAAGCTGGTGGGGCATTGTCACGCCTGTGGCGCGTTGCAACCAGCATGCACCGGACCAACGCATCAGACATTGCGCGGCATGCTGCCCTGGCAGAATCAGTACAGACGGCATCACTGCCATAACCAAACAACGCTGTTCTGTCATCTTGTATCGCCGCCTGCTTAGACTAATAATACTTCTTAGAAATTGATGTGGCTGCCTCAGACCCAGTCTGCTATTTAGCGGAAGGAGTGGCACAGTCTTGGTACAGTCAGGCCTCGCTTATCCGGTCCTCTTTTATCCGGATCCCTCGCCATCCGGAAGAAAATCTGTGGTTACCGATTTACAGCATATGCCATGCATACATACAGTATGTGTGTTCGATTATCCGGTTCCCTCGCCTATTCGGATATTTTTGTGGAAAACGGATGTGTGCGGTTATGCGAGGTCTGACTGTACTCATTACAGGGGCTCGGAAGGTATATCAAGGTGGTGTGGTCAGCCACCTGAAGTACATTTTACTCGTGTGGTTGGGGTGACTCCCCTGAAAAAATTCCCAAATCTAGAGCCCAAATCAGTGCATTTTATTGATTACGGGGCACTTGGGACAAAGAGTGGTACGGTCAATACCGTAGTGACCATAGCGTGTCCGACGCCCCTGCCTCATTCCTTGGTGCAGCCATGACCAACAGGCAACAGTACAGCAAGGTATGCACCGACTACCCTACCTAGCAACATCCTGTGCAGTCTCGTGGTCCTCCCCTTCGCTGTCGGCTGCAAATGTCCACTCCATAGCGCCGGTCAGTGGGTTAAACTGCGACCGTAGCACGCTATACACACGTGCACACACACACACACACACACACACACACACACACACGCACACACATGCACACACATGCACACACACACACACACACACACACACACACACACACACACATGCACGCATACACACACACACACACACACACACACACGAGCACACACACACACACACATGCACGCATACACACACACACACACACACACGAGCACACACACACACACGCACGCACACATCCAGATGGGAAAAGCATGATTATACAATCGACGATGTGACAGCAGCCGTCCGAAAAGAAGATTGAAAAACAACACAACAATGCACTGATGTACACAGGTTCTTTTCTTTGAGGAGCGCTGGTCTACTACAGCCATGTACTAGTATGATAAACTACACACCTTACATACAATGGGAACAATACATCGCATGGTCATGTTGGTGTGAGATTTCATCATAGGCTAGATTATACACAGCAAATCTATAGAGAGCTGCTCTTTCTTGGGTGCTTATTTACTCTTTCCTGGCGGCTTGATAGAGAGGTTCCGCACAACGTAAAGTTGAGCAACTTTACGTTGGTGGGCGGGAAAAAACCGTGAATTCGCGAGTTTGCACTCCACTTACGGAAAGTCGTCTACGGAGAGTACGTAGATAGGGCTCTGATAACGTAGCTGGTCCGTAAGTCCATTGGGGTACAAATTTATGACTCTCTCCCCAGGTCGATCTGGTCGTACACTGCCGCGTTCGGAGTTGCCAAGGACAGATATGTGATTCGAAAACTCCGTATGGCGGAACCCACATTCGCATGCAGTTTACGTGAGAGACTTTCCGTAGATCGACTACGTTTCGTTTTTTACTAACGTAATTACGTTATGCGGAATCTCTCTATTTACTCTTTCCTGGCGGCTTATATACTCTTTCCTGGCGGCTTATATACTCTTTCCTGGCGGCTTATATACTCTTTCCTGGCGGCTTATTTACTCTGATTATTGTGGTGATATTATAATTATCACCTTTCCCTGCATGGGTCTTGGCACTTAGGCTTCTACTGTTCGCACATGCTTCCATGCACGGTTGCACCCTGCACTGCTGGACCTCTCGCGCCTTGCGCATAACGTTAGCACATTCACATGCCACCTTTCAAGCCGCCTTTGCAGCCAGCTACTCTTTAAAGCCATTGCGTTTCACTGATCTTTTCATTCTCATCTTTCGAACAGCTGGTCTGCCTTGAGCAGGACACAACAGTTATCTAACACCGAGCTTCTGCAAATGCAACTCCATGCGTCCGTACATGTATCAGCAAACGATGTTTTGGACTCTTGGTATGAGTACGAATCCAGAGTACGCTTTGGAATTTAGGGAAAATCAGTTGCTTCTTGCAAATCCGGAAAAGGTTTGTGCGTTTTTGAATTCTTCTCTGGTTTGGGTTTGCGATGCCACATTATGACATATTTGCAGCCATGTCATAAAGTAGAACTAAAGAATCTACTATTCGTCCGAGCTTTGGTCCGTTTTGACCGAGTGGGACCTCTGTTCTGCACTGGATGATGTAGGTGTCCATTTTACTGGAGGATCTGTATTGAATGTGTCAACAATGCCACTTCGATTTTTCTTCGATTTTTCTCTTTGTAGTCAGAACATGCATGAGACCCTTTAGGGCTCCATTGATGCTATTCAACCGTAATACAATCAGATAACGTCAATGAAATTAGGTGCAGCAAGAAAAATTAGCAATTAATAAAAAAAAATAGTCGATTCACAATCTAAAAATTAATGTGCTTTTTTCCAACATACCTCCCGGGCACAGGCTTCTCCATGTCAGAATTCTTAGTCCAACCAATCAGCACTTGATAAATGCCGACGCTCGACTCGAACGCCAAAGACAGTTGATTGGTATCACGAACGAAGGAAGAATCAGAACTAATAACTTGTAATTATTTGTTAATTGAAAATGCCAAAAAAATGTGAAAAATCAGTGCGTCGTGGAGACATTTGGCCGAGAGACCGTCCACTCACAGCCGCGTGACGCCTGATGGTCCTGATACCTGCATGCAGTAATGCTTGCCTTGGCCATGTCCAGTGTGTCAGGAGATCTGGTGTCCTGCACTGACAGTGACCATTGTGACCAGGGAGTAGTAGTACTACTAGTACAATAGTATTGTACTACTCCCTGGTTACCGAGTTACAGCATAATTTTATTATGTCATGCATACATACAGTAGGTGTGTTCGATTATCCGGTTCTCTCGCCTATCCGGATATTTTTGTGGAGAACGGATGTGTGCGGTCTGACTGTAGTGCCCTACATCCAGGAGTTTGGGTTAGCAAACGGCCAAGACTCAAGACTCAAGAGTTGCAGTGGATGAAGGTTGTGTTGTTGCAACGCCGAGCTGAACGTTGATAGGCATTCAGCATACAGACACTGTACACAGGACGGGCTGCATCTTCTGTCTCCAGTGCACTGTATCCAACAAAATATCCTGTTACTGGTTGTGAAATACTGTTTCGAGCTCCATGGGGGGGGGGGGGGGAGGGATGTATGTGTGGAGTACAATCACCTAAACACTGTTCGACTCCTATCCTATTGGGGTCTGATTACTGGCATGGCAATGGACAAATGCTGCAAGGTGAACGTGTATGCAAGCACACGCACACACACGGTCAGACCATCTACAAACACACGGGCGTGTCACGTTAGAATGGTTACTTGACGTTATGCAGTTCGAGAGATATGTACAAAGTGCAGCATTATACAAGCGCGCACAGTACGGTAGTCATACAGAGTCAGCAGCACTTCAACGCCAAAACAACATCTAGATCCGAGTAAGCCGTAATTCTACTACAAACAGTGCATTTAACCTAGAGCTAAAAATAATATTATTAATTTCCATGCAGACGAGTATGAAAACCAGAAAAAAGAAGATAGGAACAAACACAACACGAACAAATAAATCATGTGCCTGCCGGTGTGCATAACGAGCCGGGGGTTGGCAGGGGAGGCACAGGAAATAGTCTTGTCAAGACGTGTGTAACCAATACAGCCAAAGTGGACACAAATTCTATGCGATAGGTGAAGCAGATCAAAAAGAAACAATGGGGCGAGGAAGGAGTGGCCAAAGATTTCATGTTGTTTCGTGCGGTGATGTCATGAGTGGCGTTATGATTGTTATGGATATTAGAAAGGTACAATAGAGGAGAGAAAGCCAGAGCAACATGCACGATTATAATGATAAACGTTCGTTCGTTAGCTGGTCGATACTGTTGGGGGGGGGGGCAAGAGGCGGGGGAACAAGGGCGGTTGCAATGCGGGAAGTATCAATGGGAGATGACAGCGAGCGAAAACTACCAGGTGAAAAGCGAGCTATTTCTCTTTTTGCAGCTACTTTGATGTAACATCGCTGCATACACCACACCACACACACACACCCACACACACACATGTACGGTGGAGCAGTGAAAGCATCTACGTAGACTTCGCGGAACTGGTGCAGGTCTGCATGAGCGAGTCGCAGAATGATCAGAGCAGCGATAGACAAAGAAGTTGAATAGAGGTCACAGCGCACACTGCCCAGGCTAGGAGAGAGAGAGAGAGAAAGAGAGAGAGAGAGAGAGAGAGAGAGAGAGAGAGAGAGAGAGAGAGAGAGAGAGAGAGAGAGAGAGAGAGAGATGTCCTATTGGCATATGCTATTCGCAAGGGGCACGGCCCATTGCCAACCATACTACCTGGGAAGCAGCAGCAATACGACGTTGTAGCGGATCAGTGCGGTGTGCGGCCGCGGTGATACTTCTCTGTGATGCGATGGCTGAACGCCGGAGAGGTCGGCTTGGTCAGAGGCCGCTCGCTGGGCTTGACTTCCACAGTGCGGTAGTGACGTACTGGCTTTGCCTTGTGCACCATGCCAGCACGGATGCGCTCAACCTGGTTAGCAGCAACACAGAAAGACAAATACGGGACAAAGCTGTCGGGTATGTACATGTACATTGTTCTCAACGGCCCAGGCCAGGTCACAAAGGACCGGTGGCAGCTAGCAGTATCACACATATGCAGGTCACAAAGGACCGGTGGCAGCTAGCAGTATCACACATATGCAGGTCACAAAGGACCGGTGGCAGCTAGCAGCATCACACATATGCAGGTCACAAAGGACCGGTGGCAGCTAGCAGTATCACACATATGCAGGTCACAAAGGACCGGTGGCAGCTAGCAGTATCACACATATGCAGGTCACAGCAACAGTGATAAGCTACACCTACAGGCAATCACATGATTGACAAACCACCCTTTCTTCACATCACCATCGTGGTCTTTATCGGTTCACGCTCTTCTCTCAGTGCATCACTTTTTTACTTCTCACCTCATCCACCAATGAATGGAGTACAGTACCAGAAATAGGACTCGAGCAAAAAAACTTCTCAACGAAGAAGGGACAAATGCAAAAGGCTTCCTAGACTCTCGTCACGAATGTGAACGCAGGACGTACTCAACTGAATGCAGAAGGCACACGTAGTGGCAATAGTACTCACCTCTTCACGTTCCCGTTCCTCGTTTTCCATCTTGCGCCGGTGCTGCTCCTCCGCCATTTCCAGCTCCTTCTCGTTGCGCATGCAGTCAAACTCCTGGCGCTTCTCCGCTCGCACATCGGAGTGCAGTACGACGTCATCGGTAACGATGGGGCCTCGCTGTGCCGGCTCGGGGACGAATGGCGCCTCGTACACCACTGTGGCTGGACGCGCGTGGAACTCCTTCGCCCGTCGACTGTCCTCTTCTTCCTGAGCCATCTGTGGTGGAGAAAGCCATGCGAGAAAAAAAGGGACACGTGTGATGTGAAACTTTGACTTACGTAGACAGTGGGTTGCAGTATGTAAGCCCAAAAAGTGCTTAGGCTGCCTTCATCACCAACTTGAACACCAGCAAAGTGACCTGCTGTACAAAATGTCTTGCTCTAAATTCTAAACATTTACAAGTGAAGTCAACACGTAATTGTTCACGATCCACATCATAATGCTAAGCAATTCAGTGCCTATGATGCATTTATAAGGATCACACAAAAGGCACAACAGTTGGAGCGTAGCCACACTTGCATTCAAGCTCAAAGGTGACCTGGCCTGCTGTGCTCAAAGCGGAAAGACAATTCTTCACTCAAGAAGGATTAGACCTTCGGACAAGAGTGTTGCTGTCCTTGGACATTCGCACAGCACAGAGAAATTGGAACTGAGCCTGACAAGAGCACCCATACATACATACAGCAAAGCAACACCAGGCAGCAGCATAGCAGCATAGCTAACTGAACAGTGAACACCCTACCCTTTGTCTCCACTGTTCGACTTTGTGCGCACCACGCACGTCCGTCTGCAGGTCGAACGGCTCAACGACGGTGTTCCTTGGCGGGGTGAGGCCATGCGGCACCTCGTTTTCACTTGCCTGTCAACAGCAACGAATTTAGAAAGAGAGCGTGAATGAAACATGAGGCCCACTAACCACTTCAGTACTTGTAGGTGATTTAGCAGCGAGGAAATGGATGGACTTATCAGAAATAGCATAAAAATGTACATCGGCATGCACAACAAGACCATTGTAAATGCATCAGATCCTAAAAGACATGGATTACAGCAACAACCGATCCACTTCCAAAGCGTAGAAAATGAGAGAATCTACAGTGCCGCTCAATGAAATCCAGTCGCGTCACTCAAGTTTGCGCCTTGCATCATCTCGCAGCCCAGTGTTTGCAGGTCGAGGGCTGTGGAACGCTCGACGCGTACTTGAGTGACGCGACTGGATTTCATTGAGCAGCACTGTACTTACGACTCTCTTTGCCTGTGCCTCCATGATGTCGTCAGCCTTGCGCTTGCATTTGCGAATGTTGGGCGTCTTGGCATCGGTGAGAGTCACGGCTGATTTCTCTGGAATACCCTGGAAGACAAGCCAGCAAAAAAAAAAACACAGCGCTTTGGTAAGACTTTGCATAGTCCATAGAATGTATCAATAAGCAAGCAGGATTATAAAACATTGCCATGACTCTCACTCCAACATTCATAAACTGATGTTCTCTTCGTTGTGTTAGAATAACTTTCATCAAAATGTTGGTCATAGTCCACACGATAAGGGTAACACATGTAACAGTCATGTCAAAGTGTTACTGTTACAGTGTAAAGCGTAAGGATCATGGAAGAAAGTGCGAGCAGGGTGCAAGAGAACAGAGAATCATTGCACACATCAAAGCAATGATGTTCCAACCCCACATCCCACACCTGACCAGAGTCCCGTGCCATGTTATAATTTACTTTTTATCATTATTGTTCCACCATCACAACGACATGCTGCCAACAAAGATGTGATGCTGGCGATTTCAACCAGCCATGGTGGGGAGAACTGAGAAAGGTAGGAGGCTAGTAGTAACTCACAATTGGTTGCTCGAACATTTTGTCCGGTATCGGCTGGGCGCGGAACGTCTTCTGCGGTGTGTTGCCGTGTGTGTCTTTGGAAGCACGGTCGTCACACCGCTTGCTGGTCTGCAGGCGCAGTGCAACGGCCACCGTGGTCTTCGGTGTGGTGCGCTTTGGCAGGCCGTAGCTGCCGTTCTCCGTGATGATCCTTGGGTCAAGTTTCCTTGCTCTAAACTGGTACCTGACCAACAGAACATACAAGCCGTGTTGCAAAGCTGAAGTCATTATCCAAAGACATAGCAATACAAAACAGTCGGGCCAGCGCTTGCTATCAGGTCGATTCATAATTCATTTCCCGTACGCGAAATACTAGTAGTTGAGCACAAGTCAACTTTTTCGCGATGCGACGCGTTTCCCGTACGCGAAATGAAGTATGAATCAGGCCATAACCTCAGGGGTCAAGTATCTTCCAAGAGAAGAGAAGATGGAGAAGGACAGAGAGAGATGGTCGATAAAGCGCAGGCTTACAGAAGGATCCACCCAGTGCAAACCACAGGCGTAAACCAAAGTATAAAATCATAAGAACATTCACTAGTATTGCATCATTGCCTTACGCCTTGATCTCATCCAGCTCCTTCTCTTCTTTCTCTGCCTGACTTTCCAGCGTAGGCGGTCTATGGCGAGTCTTCGACATAAGCTTCGGCGTGACGGGCATTGTCATGCGGGGTGCGGGCGCTTTCGTTCCATTTTTCGGCTGAATAGGTCCCTAAAGCATCCAGAGAATTAAAGTTGAAGAAAAAAAGTAGAAATATTATTAGATGGGGAAGATTCACCACGCAGAGAGAGAGAGAGAGAGAGAGAGAGAGAGAGAGAGAGAGAGAGAGAGAGAGAGAGCGTGTGGATTTGCACAAAGGTTTGCGAGCAGGCTTCTAGCACTCTCCATCACACCATGTATACGCCCATCGCAAGAGAAGCACGCAAATCTGCAAATGCACTGGATGTGCACCCACAGATTTTCTCTTATAGCAAGGATAGCGAACAAGATCTGAATGAGACAGATCAAGACTTGCGCCAGATAATTGTCTAATCCACACAACTGGCGAAGCCATGTGAATCGATCACCAATGCACACCTGGTCTACACCACACGGAGTACATTGGCATAAAACGGCCAAGACAGCTACCTATGCGCACCTTACACTTGCTGGGGTAACCAGTATAGACAGCACGCTGCTTTGATAGAAGCAGACACTAGATGCACTGGTACCTTGAAGTAAAATTGGAGTTACTTTACCAACCAGCCTCGGCTACTGAGTACTGGGAACCCAGAGCCAACATACATACCAACAACCTCAGCCATGAAAGCTATTATAGTAATGACACACTGGATTGTGGAGCTGAAACTAGTCCAACCTTCAAGTGCTTTGGCAAGAAGGTAGCCATCCAACAGGTCGGGCTCCATCACACAGACACACACAGACACAGAAACTAGATCATGAGATGGAGAAAAGGCTCTTGATAATAAAACTCTGGACAACTATAGCTAATTTCCCTAGTGCCAAGCTGCACACAGTACTGATAACCACTTGATAATACATGTATCAGTACTAAGGTACTGCTCATACCTTATTTATTTCAGATCTTGGCAGCGTACGGTAACGGTCCGGTGTCGCGTTCTGAAACTTCTTAAGGTGCTCCGCAGCACTGACGTACTTGGCCGCAGCTCCAACCGGCTTGCCGGACGAGACCGTGTTCTCCTTGTCGGCCTGGCGGCTCTGTGCGCGCGTCTGGTGGAACTTGAACGGCTTGGGATGTGTCGGGCTGACAGGTCCGTGGCGCGCCTTTACCTGCAAGTTGACAAACATCAAAATAGATTCAACGCTTCGTCGGAGAGTAAGTCAGACTGGCTTTTCCGTATCCGTACTGTGCGGCAGGCACGCCACTGTCCTCAAGAATCAAGACGCATCCGTAGGCACTCCACCAACTTCAAGTACCGCAAGTCTACAAATTTTCTGCCCATTCAAATGTCGGCCTCCCAGGGCTAAAGCCCATTTTCGGCCGCATCCAATTTTCGGTCTGTACTGCTGCCGTCTGTCTACACTGTCACACTGAACCTTGCAAAACAAATTTTCGGCCAAACATGACCAGGCCGAAAATAGCCGAAAATAAATATGCGCCGAATAGATTCTGTTGACTCACAGTACAAAGACGCAACCCGCATGCATAGGCATGCCACACAAGGTGGTGGAGCTGGCGGGAAATGATGCTGCAGAGGAAAAGCCCCTCCACCTAATTTCTAAACAAACACTTTTCTGTCTTCACAATAGAGTTCAAGAAGTCGGAATAGAAAATACATATCACCCCCCCCCCCCCCCTCAAATAAACTATTGGTTTGTGGAATCACTGGTCATGAAAGAAGGACAACATACTAGTATCAACTTACTGGACCCTTCACGGATTTAGGTGCGTTGTACGAACGAAGCTGATGGACAAACTTTCCACTTCCGTCTGGCTGAGTGCCTTCAGCGGGGCGAGAGTTGCTGGCGTTCTTCGCGAGTCGACTTTCCGTGCGGAAGTTGAATCCAACGGGGATGGTCGGTGCGACTGCGGCACGCTTTGGTAATGCAGCACAGGCTGAACCGGCCGTTGTCTGCACAGAGAAAGGTATCCAGTCACACACACACACACAGCCCAACAGCACACGGTCACACACAGAGCCCAACAGCACACGGTCACCATGCATGAAGATGTAACATGTGCATCTACGCCGGGCAACAGGCAAGCGACGGCACAGTCTACCAGCACGCACCACTGTGGATTTGAAAGTCTAACGCAGTGAGGAACACTGGTAGGAGCCAGCAGGCTTCAACAAGAATCGAGAAATCATCTGTTCTACATTTGCCCAGAGAAAGCGCAGATTGAGTATGCCCAGAGGAAAGATGGGAACTCGTAAATCCTCCAGCAATTGGAGCTCTGGGGCCACATACAAGTTTCTTCAACATCCAATTTTACAGTGGAGATGGGTTGGGAATACAGACTGGCTCCTTGACGCGAATGCAATCACTGAACTCACATGTAGCTGGCGGAAGGACTCCTGCGACGCCTGCACTGCCTTGCGGTGCTTCTCTCGCATCTTGTTAATGCGCTCCATTTCCAGCTGCTCCGACGACTTGACAGCATGACCCGCGCCGGTCAGTTTCTGACGACCACGTCTAAGCATAACAATATGAGGAGGATGAGAAGGGAAAAGATTATTGGTCAGCCTCAGTGCATGCACACTACTTGCTATTAGCTTATACACCCAGCCACCCAGCCACCCACACCCACAGGATATCAACTTCATGTAAGAAGGCAAATTTGCCTGCTTGTTGTAGCTTAGAGAGCGTGTGTGGGCAGGCGTGTGTTTACCGCCATACTGCCGGGTGTATCTTTACCACCATATTTATCAACCATAAGTACAGCTGCAGTGGTGTCTTCAACTTCATTCTTGTTGTGCAACTTGAAATAAAACCAAACCAAATCAAACTGTTCGTCAAAGCCAAGGAAACAGTGGTGGCCGGGAGCATTTCTCCTTGGGTGGTTTTAAATTTAAATTTTTTCTTTAATTTGGCCGGAAGAGGGCAACACCACAAACCAGCCACATGCAAAGAGTTGATAGCCACCCGAGCCCCCTTGGTGGTCCATGCCGGTCACAGGCAGCACTGATACATGGACTACTACTAGAGTCGTGGCCTAAGGGTTGGTTCACATATCGCCGGTACGCGCCGGGAGTGGGCCTCTTGCAACCTCTCCCGGCACATTGCGATTATGTGAATCAGTGCAGTCGTAACAAAATCATACGGTAAAATATCGCAAGGGACCGCCGGCAAAGTTGGACAGTGCCTTACTCTTGCGATCTGCCCCGGCACCGATCCCGTACGATTTTGACCAGAAGTGGTTTGTGAACCGTTTGCGCCGGTGATCACCGGCTGCCGGAAGCCAGACTTTGTCAAAATTTCAAACCATGGCTCGTCCTAAATTTTCCTAAATTGAAGCTAGAGACGAGGTTCGTTCGCCATTCTTGTAATCGCTTCAAGGTGGCAAATAAGTCAGCATACCAACCCGTCCTTTTCGGATGATCTGCTTGACTGTTGTGCAATTTATGAGACAACTACAATTGAAACAAATAAAAAATACGATGGATACATTGGCAAGTTCTTGTGACTTCATCGTTTGCATGCATAATGCCGACGCCATTGCTTACTAGACTGCAATAAAATGTGTAGAAGTAGTTTCATGATCTCCAGTAAAAGGTAGCACCGAGTGGCCATCACCGAAAGACTTTGAACTACTGAAGAAACAAAGAATTCAAGCTTCAATTGGCAAACCTGTCGTAGCATTCGGACACATTCTGTACTACTTTGTAGTAGATTTGGTACTCGAACCGTATGCGCAACGGATCGGGAGCTGTCTCACCGCCGATGTCTTGCGGCGCCGATTTTGCGTATGTGAACCAACCCTAAGAAATCCGACCCACGAGTCAAAAGTAGCGGTGCGTTTCCATTTCAATTACATCATGCATGTTCCCAAAACTGATCTGAGGGCTGCATGAGCCTTGTCGCTGCTGTGGGCGCGTGGGTTGGATGTCTTTGACCACAACTGTACATGTACTTGATCGGGACTGCGCTAATAGACTTACCGGACAAAATCAGGTGTTTCCGGCATGGTCAGTTTGGGCTTCTTACTGGCACTGGACACGGCTTTGCGTGCTACATTGCTCGATGTGCTATTCCAGTAGAAGAAAAAAACAATTATGGAGTACAGAAAAAAGAGAAAAATAAATTGATTAATCGAATCGCATTGACGAATCACCGAGCTATCAACGTTGGTGTGTCTGCACCGGACAATGTGGGACCTAAGCTGGCAATCAACTAACCAGCGGAAGACCACTGCACTGTGCTGTAATCAACATTATCAGAGGCCCACTACATCATAACAAAGGAATCATAATTAATATGACAGACTGAAATGTGATGACAAAATCGTCAACCCATCCCCAGGAAACAGTACTGAAATTATTTTCAGGATTACTACATGAAGGAATGTCAACTTAAAACGACTGATAACATCTCAAAGAAATTGTACCTGATGTTGGAAGTAGCTGATGAAGTGCTGCCCTTTCTCAGCATCATACCATGTGAGCGAGTACCTGGTGAAGTAACCTAAGATAAACACAAACACAAGGACAAGGGCAGTACACATGTGTGACGACAACCTTCTACTGCTACTACTGGGGGAATCAAAGCACTCTCTGCTCTGTTGTTCTGGCCAACGTACGTCTTTGTGGCCGTTGGTGGTGATCTCTTCTGTCTGATCATCAGTTCCAGCATCGCCATCAGTTGCATCCTCCTCTGCGTCCTCCTCCTCGTCCAGAATACCTTCAGGTCCCTCGGCAAACATGTCACCCATACCTCCATCTCCACCTGCCTCCTTGGCTGCGGCAGCATCTAAACACAATTGGGAATCGCGAGAAAAGCACACATCGGGGTTGAATTTCTGTCTGACACTGCGTTGATGTTCGCTGTTCAAAAGAGAAACGCACCGAACCAAGCGTCTGCCCTGTCGTCCTCCGACGGCTGGTCAATGGAGGAAAAGTCTACGTACATCGGGGCATCATATTCACAGCTAAAAACGTCTGTCGCCATCCTGAATAGGCTGAAAGCTACCTATGAGGGGGAAACTGTAGCTCAAGACACAGGAGTGAGCAAATCCTGAAGGCTGAACACGAAGATGATCGGTTTGTCTCACCTTCTTGCTCAACTTCAAGTTCAACGTGCAGTCTGTCACCAGGAGATTTGAAAAGCGCGCACATCGACGGTTGCCATGCAACTGATCCACTCGTAAAAATGACGTCAAGCTCACGACAAGACTAGCGCGGCGCGGCCGCGCGGCGCAGTCCACATGCAAATCATGTTTTGATTTTGATTCAAACTCGGTCCTGGTCGATCGTGATGCGACAAGTCCAAACTCGATCCTCCTTCTCCACTGGAAAAGGCTGCCAGGATCGGAGGCCATGCTACAGACTAGTCGACTGTCAGTGCAGTGGTAATAAAAATTAAATAAAATGCCGGTTGTAGCTTGACACTTTCGAAGTTTTGTCTGAAGCCAGGGAGAAAAAGCTGGTATCGAGTTCCTGTTCGGCAAGTCTGAGGGGTGATCTGGGATCAAAGTTCAAGAATGTGTGGCAGGACTGCATGGTAAGAATAATGATGTATGAAAGCACCAAATACAATCGTCATGTTCCCCAATCACACGACTTGCTCCTGATGCTTGAACATACATGGGACGGCAGTAGTCAGCCAGTGATGAAATTATTTGATTGGCTGTGGGAATCTGTCCGAAATCAAAGCAGACGAGGTCTGCTTCATAGAACTTGTCTCGGAGAACTGCAGTTTATAGCAACTAACTTTATACCTAGTGTTCAAGACCCTACGTGTAGTATTCCAGACCTCGACAAATAACCCTGCGGCCCTTTCCCCAGCTCCGGAATGGCTTGTGTGACGTGCTCCACAAAATAAATATTCTTTATAAACCGCGAAAAATATACTTTCTACCGTGCAACTCCTACACATGAACATGCAGCGAATGGTGGGGATACATCATGTGTGTGTGGTGGGTGTTCTTTGCTTTCCGGTGCGCCGCTACAGTGCCTGCGAGCCGGAAGCAGTGGCGCGGGCGTGCACGTACCGCAGCAAGCGCACGGGCAAACCGCGTCAGCCGCGATGGGTGAACGGCAAGAAGAAGGGTGACGTGGGCCGGGCCGCGGGCCGAGCTCGCTACTATCCATCGTTCAACGTGGGACCGTCCACGTACATGTAAGTGTAGACAGTTGTCTAAGATACTCAGGCTGTGTACTAGTATACCGTTCACAAGGATATGGATATATTCTTGTGAATGGCGGGGCTTGGTTATGGTGTCTGATGAGTGTTGTTGATAACACCGAAACTCTGAGTAACGGCAGACAAGGACTTGGTTGTGTCATTGCTGTGTGAGTAGTATACATGTACGTGTACTTAGGCACTTGTTCGAGTGCTCGGGTACAGTGCCATTGTATTCACAGTTGTGTGTGTGCACACGAGTTCTGTCGTGCAGAGTTATCCACAGCGCCTTGGATAGGGCATGGTTTACTCAGGGGCGTAGCAGTCGGTCCAGAATGCAGGATTTTGCACCCTATTAAACTTCAAAAGTTACCCAGGGGACATCCCGGACCCCCCTCCGGCCGGACCACCTCCAACGGCAGTGCTACGCGCCTGTTACTCCAAGTCAGCTGAAAAAGCAAAACATAATAAATACACACTTTGACAACTCCCTCCAACTCATGACACACACTGTGACAGTGAGCAGTTTCCAGAAACATTTTTCAAGTCTTCCCTACTGCACAATGCACGCTGACAGAGTCCCTCGTACGTACTCTACGTGGACTACTTTCGTAACTCGCGAATTCACGGATCTTCCCGCTCACTGTAATGTTGCTCAATTTTAAGTAGCACGGAACCTCTCGATTGTCTTATATTGAGGAATCATCAACTCTGAGGCGGATACAGTGTCAATGATGTAAAACAGCAGAAAAATATGCAAGTCCTGATAGGAGGTAAAAGTCGAAATGCTCCAACCCCCGGGGTTGTCTATCAACGAGGGTAGACCCGGACCGGTATTACCTGTCGGGAATTTTGACCGTGTTACACAATTGGCTTGCAGTAATTCTGACAGTACGTGTATGTGCTCCCGTGCTTGGCTGTACTCGCTGATGCTTTCACAGGCCTGTTCTTATCTCTGGTGATCATCCCCACTGCCGGACACCAGCTGCATCCACATCCAGCACCGCCGCCGCCGCCACCGCCGCCACCACCACCACCAGCAGCACTGGCGCTACGGAATCACAGCCCGACGTCTTGGCTAGCTGTCGTGGCGAGCGCGTTCTGCAGACCATGCGCTGGGGTCTGGTGCCGTCGTGGCACAAGGGAGATCCGGACAAATTCGGCACCATGCTCAACAACAGCCGCTTGGAAGGCATCCAGGAGAAGGCCTCGTTTCGCAATGCACTGAAGCGAGGCCAGCGGTGTGTCATTGTCTGTGAGGGGTAAGTAGATTCATTTCGTCGCAATATCTTTTTGTCTGGAGTGAAATGCAATCCCTCTGTTTTTGCCTGATTCTGCATTTGCACGGCCAGTTTCTATGAGTGGAAAACGTCCGGCAAGACCAAACAGCCGTACTTCATGACGTTCAGCAGCTCTGAGGCGGGCGTTAGCGACGACGATATAGCTGCAGCCCAGGAAGCAGCCGTCGCACTGGACGCCGCGGAAGCATCGCAAAGCGAGGATGGCCAAAGTGAGGATCTGCGCGCAAGCGGTGATGTCGACCGGGCAAGGTTTGCCGAGAGAAAGCCGTCTCGCCTGCTGACAATGGCTGGGCTGTTTGATGTCTGGCATCCACCAGTGGTACGTTAATGCTTGCGACTGGATTACTTGGGATGCATCGCTGTGTAAAGTTGCTCATTCTAGAAACCACCATTAATGAGATCCGTGTGTGTGTGTGTGTGTGTGTGTGTGTGTGTGTGTGTGTGTGTGTGTGTGTGTGTGTGTGTTTTGCTGTTCGTTCTTTCAATAAAAATCTTGATCAAGATTTTCCGTGGCATGCTGAACTGTGTGTATCATGCCCTCTGCTTGTGGACTGGCTACATTATAGATTTTTATCATGTTATAATTATTGTATGGGCGTTAGTAAAGTAAGAAATGTCCGTGCATCCGCGTTACCCCTAGGCCCTGGCTGTACAATTGTGTCTAAAAGCACAATCAGCTCGCGTGTCTTCATGACGTGTGTGTGTTGCTGTGGTTGCTAGGGATCGGAGCACGAGGCGTCTGGTCCCATCTACACGTACAGCATCGTAACCGTCCCGGCGTCCAAGCCGATTGACTGGCTACATCATCGCATGCCGGTAAGCCGAGAATGCATCGACCCATGTGTGACTGCATTGTACTGTAACATTTGCCCAAACTATAGTGATGGCAGATAAAAACTGACCCCTGGATTTTACATATATATGCCGAGGAGTTAAAAGGAATCCTAACGCGTGGTATGCGTGCCCCTGTCATGCCAGCAAAGCGTGAAGATCATCTTGGCGGTGTTCGCTTTCTGATCTCGCGTATGCGACTAATCCACTTGAGGATCATAATGCAGAGCGTGCAGAAAGAGAGTAAATTATGACACAGCGACATTCGAAAGCCAACGGGAATGGGAAAGTGACCTCCAAGTCCAGTTTCGTCACACTTCAAACCCAGATCTCTCCCCAGTTCGGATATTTTCTTTGATTGAGTACATTTGGATGTTCTGTGTTCCAACTCTGCACGTTGCCAGGCTATTCTGGACGGGGACGAAGCCATTGAAAAGTGGCTGAACTTCTCCAGCGTAAATCTCGAGCAGGTATGTATACGGGTGTTGTTGTACAGTGTGCTACTTGCCAGTAGATGAGAAGCTGTAAGCCGGAAACATTTCCCAGTTTACAGCACCCTCAGCAGATCTCTGCTTTCAGTTACCATTCTCAGATCAAAGAAGCGGCAGTTTTGTCACGAGTTGTTCGGCTGCATTCGTCAAAAACGAGACGCTTTGTGATGGTCAATTTTTCTTCAGACTTTTCTCATTTTCAACTTTCTCAACCTTATCAAGTTATGAATATTGTGCCTGTTCAGTTTCTTTTCACCTGCTTTGAGAAGGCAATGGAAGTACTTGTGGAAAAGTTGTGAAAATGTTGATTCTGAGGAGCCTGAACCCTGTCCTTTGTTTTTACTTCTATTGTAAGTGACATTGTATTTTTGTATTCAAGAACACTATTCACGTAACTTACTAGTATTATCAAATGTGTTGATCATGTTGCTTTCAGGCACTGGGTCTCATTCATCCTACGTCCGTGCTGAAGTGGCATCCCGTCACCCAGTCCATGGGTAACATTCGCTACAAGAACGCCGACTCGATAGATCCCATTGATCTGAAGTGAGTACCACTGATATCGTCACTGTTACATGTTTAACTTTGTGTGGCATAGTGCGAAATCCGGCTTTCATCCACCACCAGCAGAATACCGATCAACTTGAACATGTTTTAAATGTGTTTACTTTGCGCATGGTCTCCAGAGAGGCTGCAATGCACCCAGCATTATCAGTGGTAGAAGCTCTTAATTCGTCTCCAATCAACCTGTCCACTATGATGGCACTTTAGTTGTAAGCCACAAACTCTTGCACTTCTGTAAAAGACCTTCAAGTATATACCGGTATTTATTTTCAAATTTATGGGTCACACCCGTAAACGCTTTCGGCTTTCGGGCACAAACCAACTTTTGGACTTGGCTGTCGCGTACATGTACGTGGAGAAGTCCTTTTTCTCTAGTGCGTATCAGGGCATGCACATATACATGTGCCTGCTTTGCTATGCATGCGCAAACCATACTGATATTTTTCAGGCCAGGGAGTTTTTTGTAGAGCCTTTTACTACTCCCGGTTTCAGACAGTACATGTATGTTTGTTGCGCTAAAGTTGACTTCAACAGACAGAGTCTAAAGATGAAGGGGGTATTTATTTTTGGGGCGCATACTTTTTTTACGGGCTTTTATGCTCCAGATTCCTCCTTGTGAGTACTGTACACATTTTTCTTTGTCCTTGTGCTTTGGAGAGAGGGCTATTAGGATTAGGAGAGGGAGGGGGAAAGGGTGTTCCTTGTTTTCCTGCTCATTATCGCTGTGTGCCATTGCATCTCCATGTTCCTACAGTGCCAAGAAGCCGGTGAAAGCCACTGGTCTGACGTCATGGCTGAAAGTCTCCCCTGCAAAGCGTAAGGCGGAGGAGACGAAGTCCGAAGACGAACCATCAGCCAAGAAACCTGTGGAGGAGTAAAGCTGATCGTTATAATACCATTCTCGGTATTGGTGCTGTATGCTGCCTCTTCTAAAATCACACAGCTTGTATGTCTACCGACAGGTTTTTTTACCGTGTACGGGTGAAATTCCAAATTTGCTGATTGCGCAACACCCGTCTATGCACTCAGCTTGCCGTATTTAGCAGGATGTCGCGGCAAGCCGTTGTTCTGTTACCGAGTGCGTTCGAAACCTTCCATTGTACTACGAAGCAGTATCAGGTACTTTTGTAGTCGCTCTGCAGACTGCACGTGAATCATTGCTGTCTCGTTGGTCGTCGAATCCAGCTACACGACTTAGCAGTGCTATCTGGTGTCCTCCTGAGCCCCCAAGCGAACTATGCCCTGCTTTGAGTGGACCGTTATATTCCGTTCTACTGTATCTCCGAAACGCTGAGCTGGCAAGGTAGGTCTCATTCTTCTTGCTCATGGGAATGTGCCACTCACCCGTTGATACTTTTGTGGAGTTCTTCAATGGTAGCAGCATCATTCTGAGAGTGCCTCTGATAGTTCATTGCACTTTGCAGCTTTCCGCCAGACTTGGCTTGATATGCAGACTACTAAGGTCCTGGCTCTGCTGACTGAGTATTTGGTTCGGTACCTAGTATACCTGTCAGTTTCATCATTCGCTCACGTGCCCGGTGGGGCATCGGACCTTGATCGCCAGTAATGTTATAAATATATCATTATGTGAATTGGCACGCACGATAATGCATGTGCTCCCCTTGAATGTGGCTACATACTCGGCATTCACCTGTGACGGCCTGTGTAAGGGTTACAGTCTTGACATATCTGCCGCAGTGCAGTACCAACACGCCACACATTCCCTATACTATAGAGTTGTGTGAGGTGCTTTTTAGTTCTTTGAGTAGGGGGGGGGGGAGGGGAGCCTCTCTCTCGTACAAGCGGCCAGAACACAAGTGGCGGGCCCACGATTTAGTTTTCCAATTGATTCTAGGAAATTTTGTATGGTTTAGGAGCTACACCCCGGATGGCTCTGCTCTTGTGCGTACGTTGTATTGTTGCTTTGATGCGTGAACTCAACTATGCTGATAGCTTTCGCTGTACCTGTTTTTCCTGGTTCATATCCTTTCTTACTCTTTTATGATTATGCAGCTATAACAGGGAGCTGCCTCGGTTGATATCGTTTCATGCCAATGTCGTTATCATTGCTGCGTTCATGTGCAATGAAAAGAGCAAATTATGGGAAGGCGGTGAGGCTTCATGAAAGATTATGCCGCATACGGTGTTGGAAGTCTCTGGTGCATCTGTCTGGTAGTCTAGCTAGATGCATTGATGAATGTCTGATGATTGCTTTGGCCACATGAAGCCACTGGCATTGGTTACAGTGATTCACTGTAACCCACTGATTCGAAAGTGTGGTGCTGTGTAGCTGTAACACATGCGTGCATGTGTGTGGGTGTGAATGTGTGTGGGTGTGTGACCATCTCCCTCCTCCGGCTCCTCCACCCGCCAAGCCGTTCAGCTGCGCATGCGGACGGTCGTTCCGCAGAAGTGGCGACCTCCAGCGTCATCCGCTTTTCTGCCTGGCTCATTAAGCCTATCATCGCCTCCGGCGATGGGGCGTCACAAGGTGTGTGCGCGTGTGTGGTGGTGGTGGTGGTGGTGGTGGTGGTGTGTGTGTGTGTGTGTGTGTGTGTGTGTGTGTGTGTGTGTGTGTGTGTCGGACCGCCAGATAGCGGACTGGTACGACCTCGCCCAGGATCGCAGAGAATGGAGATCAGCATGCAGCACCATTCCTCCGACCGAGCCCGTCACCTTAGACTTCGTTTGCACTTGTGGAAAGCGCTATCGCCGTCGCCAGGACTTGACTCGCCACGCCCGATTCTGCTCGTGACTTGAACACTGTTGGTCCCTTCGGGACCTGCTATCATCTCCGGATGGGCATATTGTATTGTATTGTATTGTATTGTGTGTGTGTCGATAGTGCATGCACTTGTATTCATTGGCATGTATAGTTGTCACCGTGCAATGCACACACCCAGTACAATACAATAATGCCCATCCGTGGATGATAATAGGTCCTGAAATGACCGATGTTGTTTCAGTCAGTGAGAGCAGATCTCCGAATGGCGCACACACGCAGACACACACACGGAGGTTGGGTGTTCGCTGTGTGCTGTAATGATCATTGGTATTTGACTACTGTCATTACATGTACTGAAGTACTACTACAAAATTGTAGTATTTGCAGTGGTTTGTGCGTTCAATAAAACACCTTTTTAGCCGTATTTGACTACTCGTAGATCTACTATACTGTAGTTACACAAACTTACTTTCGGTGTACTTTTATTTTCGGTACTTTCAGTGCATCTGTTTTTATACCTAAAATTTCAATACACCGAACAAACACACACATAATCCAATAGAGAACTGATTCTCTGTACCTAAAATTTCTGCTCTGATACCGAAAATGTTGAGCACATAAAATTTCTGAAGAGCAGATGGCAAAGACAATCACCATGAATCACGGCGGGATTTCCCCTTCCTGCAGTCTTTGCTTTTTTGCTCGACCTTTGATGCACGGCGGTTGGCTTGACTTGCTGTTCAAATCACAAGACAACAAGCAAGACTGACTATGAAGTACGATTGTACTGTTGACTTCTACAAGTTCTAGTAAGTTAGTTTGTTCTACTCTACTAGGTCTAGACAAGAGCCATAGCCCAGTACCAAACAGGGAGCACTACAACAAGTATCTGATAGATCTACCTATTATCACAGCCGGCATTACAGGTTCCTACTTCGTGGTTTTGACATCGATCTTCTTTCTGAATATTTTCCTGGAGTTCTTCCAACGGACAGTCAGTGTCAGCCGCGTTGCTGATCGGTTGAACTTTCAATTGTCGCATAGATGTATGAGTTACGTAGTCTGTCCAAGAACAACTCTCATGTAGCGTCGTCTGCTTCGCAGGACGACTCAGCTGACATGGTGAGCCGCGCAGGACCCAGTAGTGAAGACGAGGGCCTTCACCGTTACGATTCCAGCACATCTGCCCCTGCGAATATGAGGGAGGCAATGGATGGTGGCTGTCAGATCAACGCGAGCGAGAGCGATGTGACACCACGCGTCACCCATGCACAAGCAAAGCGGAAGAACAACTTGGAGCAGACGATTCTTATACCGGAAGGCGGCAGTGAGAAGTTTTTCTCGTTTCGCAAGCTATGGGCATTCACAGGTCCTGGGTTTCTGATGAGCATCGCCTACCTGGATCCAGGGAACATTGAGTCTGACATGCAGTCTGGTGGCGCGGCTGGGTTTCATCTGCTATGGCTTCTGTTCACCGCAACATGTATGGGTTTACTTCTGCAGCGGCTCTCTGCAAGACTTGGTGTCACTAGTGGCCAGCATTTGGCGGAGCTGTGCCGCCAACAGTATCCCCGCACGCCGCGCATAGTCCTCTGGCTCATGATCGAGCTGGCCATCGTCGGATCCGACATGCAAGAAGTCATCGGAACGGCCATTGCCTACTCGTTGCTTAGCAACGGCAAAATCCCGTTGTATGCCGGGGTCCTAATCACCATCGCCGATACATTCCTGTTCTTGTTTCTGGACAATTATGGTCTGCGCAAGTTGGAGGTATTCTTCTGCACGCTGATCACCATCATGGCGGTGACGTTTGGGTACGAGTATATTGTAGCAGCACCTAACCAGGCGGAGGTGATGGAGGGTCTGGTGATACCGTGGTGCTCCAACTGTGATCGACAGGCGCTGCAGCAAGCGGTGGGCATCATCGGTGCCGTCATCATGCCGCACAACTTCTATCTGCACTCGGCCCTGGTGCGCAGCCGCGACGTCGACCGCTCGTCCTCTGCCAAGATCAAGGAGGCTAATTTCTACTTCTTTGTCGAGTCGGCCATCGCTCTCATGGTGTCCTTTGTCATCAACTTGTTTGTGGTGTGTGTCTTTGCTGAGACTTTCTTCAATGTCAGCACGAGTACCATCCTGAATGAGTTTAACTGCAGTGCTTTAGGCAGTACGTCAGATCTCTCCTTGAATAGCACGTTTGACCTGGACTTGCGCAAGGGTGGAATCTTTTTGGGCTGCCGTTTTGGCGATGTAGCCAAGTATATCTGGGCGGTAGGTATTTTGGCAGCTGGTCAAAGTTCCACTATGACTGGCACGTATGCTGGTCAGTTTGCAATGGAGGGTTTCCTTACCATCAGCTGGAGTCGCTGGAAGCGTGTCTTGCTCACGCGCAGTATTGCAATCACGCCCACACTCTTCGTCGCCGTCTCGACGGGAATCGACCATCTGAGCGGCTTGAACGACTGGCTGAATGTCCTGCAATCCATTCTTCTACCGTTTGCCGTCCTGCCCGTGCTGCACTTTGCCTCTAGCAAGGCTGTGATGCGTGAGTTTAGAGCCGGCATTCCCATGCAGATTTCAATGTGGGTCATGGCCGTACTGGTGATGAGTGTCAACATCTACTTCACCGTCAGCTTCTTAGATGACCTGTGGGAAGCCCTGCCGTCGACCGGTGCTCGCGTCGGGGTTGGCTTCGGTATCACCCTGTTCTTCGCCATCTATATCACCTTAGTCGGCTACCTTGTACTGTCTATAGTGGGACTGTACGTGCCTGGTCTGCAGGAGAAACTAGGCCAAACGTCCAATATGTACGAACTACTCCACGGCGGCCTTGACATGCATGATTCGCAGCAAGAGCATCATGGGCCGCAGGCAGTGAGGTGTCCGCATGCCGAAGGGCTCTGAGTGTACTTCAAACTGCATATTTTATTCTAGGGATTTTATTTAGGGATTAATATGGAGACAAACTACAGACTTTTTTCTACAGATTGTTGTTCTAGTGAGACCTGTGGTCTCCGCTAATTCGGTTGGCTCCAAACGTACCTGTGTGGTTCCCGCTGCCCCCCCCCCCCCTGCTAACCTCACGTGTACTACATGGTGCTGTAGTATATACATGCATAGTCCCTAGCTTTAAGACTGTACTCCTAGACTTTTTGAATATGATTTGTAGCTGCGCTAGTTTCATTTGCAGCTGTCACGTCCAGCCGGTCAAGGCTTATTTCTTTCTCTGCATGCTGGCTTGCATCTTTCTGTGCTGGCTTCTTGTTTCTTCTCAGCGTTTGCCTTGCTGAGCGTAGCGGCCTTAGGAGCTGAATACTGAAAAAGAAGAAGAAATCGTTCTCATTTCTCACCGTGATAATTGGTAGCCCGAGACATCACATTCTGTCAAAGATAATGTTTGTCTTTGGAGTGTCCCAGGGAGTTGTACATGACACTGTATAGACCCGGGAGAGGACATGGCACTGATTCCCGTGGACAGGCCTTCCTCACCTGTACAACTCCCCGGAGTGACCACAACTCACAAGGCTTTATTCAGTGTAAGGCCACCCTTTCTTTTTTCGTTGTTTAACGTCCACGCCCGCGTACCTTTTTGCCTCCGACCGGAAAAAAAAACAAGAAAGTAGTAGTACCAATAATATGCGAAGTTGTAAATACATGATTGTGTAGTTTCACAGTGTGCCGATCATGACCTTAAACTTATAATCTTGCCTCCCGGGCATGCCTTTGTCTTGTGTTCTTTTTTTTGTTGGCTTTTAAATATCGTACGGTGTGTGTCCTAGTAAAAAGCCAGACGTAATTCATGACATGCTAACTCCATGCTATGTACTGTACCTGTTTTGTTGGATTCATCAGGCATGTGCTCCAATGTACCATCAAAGAGTGTTGTTCTATGCCTGCAAGTGCCGTTAGACCCAGAAATATTGTATATATCACATGCTTTACTGGTCAGAATGTTTGATTGGGGTTTCCAGTTTTTGGAATGGGCTTTTGTTTTTTTTCCGCCCTCCCGCGTACCTTTTCGCGAAAAAAAGGACGTTAAACAATGAATTAACAAAGGGTGGCCTAAGTTTGGATTCCTGACCTGCAGCGTGAGATGAACCGTGGACTGGTGCCAGTGCTGGTGAGATTGGCTGAGAGAGGATTACTTCAATTCTAGCCATGATTGTCACCGAGTAAACGCAGATCTGCCTTTCAGGATTTCATGTGCTACACTCCATACATACTGTAACATAGCACCAAGAGTACATTATGTACTCTTGATAGCATAATATTTTGTTGTACACACGTATGACAGAATGTCACAAGCAGAAGGTGGAGGACACACACACAGTGACACATACACATGCGCATGCATCATGCAGTCTTGCAGTTGCACCAAGACTCAACTAATTCTTATTCTCAAGAGTAGTCTACGTACTCTTGCCGTCTTGGTTGCACTGCACTGATGGCTGTGCGGGGAAATCCCTTTTCTCTGGTTTTCTACGTGGCGTTGACTTTTGTACGTCACGACATCACATGACGTCATTGAACAAGACGGATATGCGGCGGATCCTGCATGCATCCTGGATACAGGATAGATTTAGTAGAGGATTTGCTTTTTTGAAGTGCCGAGTGAGTAGAATACATCTTGTTCAAACTCGAGTTGGTTCAGCTTTGCTTAGGTGTTTGTCGGAACGAGGAGCTGCTGACATTTGCTAGAGAGGAGTCTTTATGAGTCTGGACCGAAATGGAGGGAACTCCAGTGCTAACTAGTCTGAAGATCCTGATCATCGGGGACAGTGGAGTCGGAAAATCCAGGTACGTCTAGTCATCGCATGCACGCTGCCATTGTTCTCGAATCGGAAACTTTCTACATGTATGAGCTGACGTTCGTGTTCCTAGTCAGCAGTAGCTTGAAATCATGGTGGCTGGTGAGGATTATATCCCGGGCATTGCCGATAATTGCCAACTCAGAGTGCATTGTGTTCGCATTCTAGATGCCTGAGTGTAAATGTATCACTAACAAGAAACAGGCGAATTTCGACCACACCTCTGCCTGGCAGAATCATGATGGGTAGGGGGGTTGTACACTAGCACTAGCGCTCAGCCACTGGATTTGGAATGGTGTGTTCCCATGGTGCAAGCTACAGCCGTGACCAAAGAAATCGGACCTGTGAGCCGACAACAGTGCCAACGCGCATGCGGCCCTCGAAAGGGTTTTTGGACGGTGCGTGATGGAATGGAAACGCGGCACTGCTTTGACTTGTGGGTCGGATTTCTTCAGCCAGGACTGTAGTTATGCATGCAGGATGCCATAAAGGAGCATCTTCACAGACAGTGTAAATGCCGTGGATGTTGTCCTGACCGTGATGTTTTCATTATGCAATGCTGCAATTGCCCTGCTGCCAACAAAAATCGTAGGAAAAGGCCTAAAGCCTGGTCGAATAACTCTTTCATGGCTGTGCCAATTGTTCAATTGTTCAGAACAACTTGCCATGCTCAGATAAGCCTTTCTATGTATTTGATCTTCGAACTTGCTTTGTCTTCATGAATTTTTTCTTGCCCAACCTATTTTGCTCATGTTTTTGAATGGACTGTTCAATAGTGTATCCTGTGTAAAACACTGCTATCAGACCTGAGCGTTATCTAGTTATGAACTACAGTACAGCTGGAGACACATGTACATGTATGGCCACCAAGCCTGGAGCCAGCTCCTGACGAGTGGTGCGATCCCCGGGTCAATACAGCCCCCCCCCCCCCTACCCGCGGTTGGTTATCACTAAAAAAAACAAAAAAAACAATGTACACTGCTAATAAAATAAATAGTACCATTGGACCGGAGACCCCATCAGGCTGAGGTATGGCCTCGGGTGAATGCAGATACGGATAGTCACTGGCTTTATATCTATGCCGACGCATTGTTGTTCAATTCAGTCTGAATGTGTGTGTGTGTGTGTGTGTGTGTGTTCCGTGCACGCGCGGATAGTCACTGGCTTAGACCTATGCCGACGCACTGTTGTTCAATTCAGTCTGATTGATGTGTGTGTGTGTGTGTGTGTGTGTGTGTTCCGTGCACGCGCGTTTGCGTATGTGTGTGTGTGCGTGTATGTGTGTGTGTATGTGTGTGTGCGTGTATGTGTGTGTGCGTGTGTGTGTGCGTGTATGTGTGTGTGCGTGTATGTGTGTTTGTATGTGTGTGTATGTGTGTGTGTGTGGTTAGTTTATTGCTGCGGTTCACGGATGATCGCTTTGATCCAGAACAGTCCACCACAATTGGTAAGTTAAATAGTGGCGTTATAGCTAAAGACAGTTACACTCATACCTTGTTTATCCGGCCGGTCTCTCTACTACAATTTTTTGCCCAATTTTTCCACTGAGTGGAGTAATTCGCGGCGAAATTTGTCTGTAGTCCGAAGTGTCATGTGACAGTGCAATCACCTGGAGACTCGTGCTGGTGCTCCATCTACAGTACTGAGAGTACACAGCTCTCCAAGAGTATGAAGCTCTGAAGATGAGGTCTCTTGCAGCAAAGCTCCATCGCATGGTGCACAATCATTGCACACACGTACTGCATGTGGTACATGCAGAAGTGGTTGGCGGGGTTTGCCACAGACTTTTCCCAGTTTCGTTCATGAAGTGCATGCATGTGTTATCTGCTCTCCGCTTGCTAAAATCTGCTCTGGTTGCATACGGCATAAACATTGCACCACATGGCGGTGTGTTTCCCTGTTGGTTGGATAGTATGGATACACAGCTACTTCTAGCCAGGTCGAAATAGTAGGGGGGGGGGACCCGGAACAGTTACACTTTAACCCATTTTTCCATTATCAAATTATCTTGCAATGCGAAATGCAATGTATGAGGCGAACATCTGACTTCACCCCAGACAAATGTGCCTTTATGAACCCTCTACTGATTATCGACTTCATTTTTCATTGAATGGCATGAGAAACACAAAAATCGGAAAATGGGTAGGGGCGGCACTTTTTCACGGGGGGGGGGGGGGGGGGGCTGTGCCCCCCCCCCCCTTGGCTAGAACCCTGGTACATGTACTGTAGACTATAGACTGTAGACCCCAGTCAAGCAGCACATGCTTGAGGTGACAGTGGTGGTGCTGCCATTGCTGCTGCTGCTTCTGCTGCTGCTGCTAGTGAGCGCTAGGTACTAGTATATACATTTCCAAGTTGTCCTGTTCTCTATTGTTGTATTCCGAGCTAGCCTGGGCCTCGTATCACGGGCAAAAACCTCGTGTGCTCCAGACGCAGTCGTGAGTCAGTCAAATGTCAAGTCAGTCAACAGGAAGTGCGAGCTTTGACGTTCGGAGCAGACACTTTCTTAAAAAAAACAGGGAGTTGTAAAAAAACGGCCAAGTAAAACGGAAGTCACGAAATGAGCGCTAGCAAAATTAACCAACAAAACAGTAAAGCCAGCTGCTCAGCTGCTCGGTTGTTCTATTGGCACTTATTAATGGAATACTCGTGTGACTACACTGGACTGTAATGCTTCTCTAACTATTTTTTCAGGTGTTGATTTCAAAGTGAAGACACTGACTGTGGGCAGTAGCCGGGTGAAGTTGTCAATATGGGTAAGGCTTTCTTTTGGGAAGATTTATTTGTGCATGATCTACTTGGGGGTAGAGAGACATTTTACTTTTACATGTCTACCAGGTTCAGCCTTACGTCCCGCAGCTGTGTTGATGAGCTCACGGGGATAGGAGCAGGAAACTGTCTGCAAACTGACTTTACTTGGAATCATGATTCCGGGTCATGCAGATTCCCTTTCCAAGCCGCTCTCTGGTCTAGTATTGGTCTGTGTCCTCTTCTGTCCTTCAAACATACACACATACACACACATGCACGCACGTGCACAAACATCCACACACACACACACACACGCTGTCTGGCTGAAAGTCCAGAACTTTAGGCGTAAAAACAATACTAGTAATGGCTTTCACTACATTTCTGTATTTCACTCTCAGCTTGCTTGCCTATTGGTGATTTCACCTTGGCGTAATGTTGTGTGACGTGTGTCCGTTGTTCTGTTCTGACTAATGTCCATTGTTCTGTTCTGATTTATGTCCGTTGTTGTGACTTGTGTGCGTTGCTCTGACTTATGTCCGTTGTTCTGACTTGTGTCCGTTGTTCTGACTTGTGTACGTTGCTCTCTTCTGACCTTAACAGGACACGGCCGGGCAGGAGCGTTTCCGTACCCTCACACCCAGTTACTACCGTGGCGCACAGGGTGTTATACTAGGTAAGAACACAGCCAATAAATTGAAATACTGTATAAGCCATTATTCTAACGAGGCACATATATAACGATTTCCTAAAATTTACTGCTTTACGTGTACCAAAGGTAATGATTCTCACTCATTCTCAATGCTCAATAGCAACAGTATTGTATCGATTTCTGTATAACGATTTCTAGATTCTCACTCATTCTCAATGCTCAATAGCAACAGTATTGTATCGATTTCTGTATAACGATTTCTATTTTAACGACAGATTTCTCCTCGTTAACTCGTTAGAATTAGCACTTCGTTATATAATTATATATATATGGCTTTTACACTACATGTAATTGTGTTTTTAACCTCTTTTTGTCTCGTCACTGGAAAACACCTACAAGAATGCAAGTCCTCCGGACAGTCAGAAACAGATGGGATATTATGCAGCTCCTAAAGCGGAAAACGTATGAAAAACGACAAGCAGAGCTATGCACAACAGCAGGGTCTACTTCACTGTTGAAATATCTGCGCTGCGCCCGCCGACAGCCTGTCTGTCGTCTCTCTGCTTCGGGATCATGATGGTGTGATTGTACTTATCCCTTACTACTGTTGGTATGCAAATGTAGCTCTCTTATACTGGACAATGTCTTGATGGTGATGACGATTATACCAGGCGTCCATTTCTTTATCTGTCGACTCAATCGGTGTACCGTTGGCACCACTGATCAACTGGTTGCTTGCATTTGTCTTAATGTGCTCTTGTATGACTAGCCTATGACTGCTCCTGTCGGTCAACGTTTGACGGTCTAAATGTATGGCTGAATGAGCTATCAACGTATGCGACTAAGGAGAACATTGTCAAGATGCTGGTCGGCAATAAGATAGATCGAGTAAGTGCAAGTATGCCTGTACATGACCTTTGAATGCCCGTACATTTGTCTGATTGCATTGCGAAGAGGCTGGTATTAACATTTGGGTCTTTAATACTGTGTATGTGTTACTACTACTTACTAGTATGTACTCTTCTCCATTGTTTCCATGGCTGGCTACCACCCCTATCCAGTTATATTGGCTGCTGCCATTGGACAGTGAATACATAAATACATGTAATTGCATGCGTGTGATTGTACACGGTGCTCATTGGATGGATAATCATGATAACATGGAGCGGTGCCCTGGCACTCTTGCGTTGTTGTTTCACATCTTTATTCTCTGTAGTTGTTCGAAATCTTTATTCTCACGCTGTTGTTGTTCTTGTTGTCGTTGTCGTTGTTATCATCAGGACTCGACTAGTAGTCTGATATCACAATGGCTGTTGGATTGTACTCTGTGTGGATTGTTGGCAATTGTCTTTCTCTAATATGTGGCATGTGCTTGGCGTTGCCTGTTATTATGTCGGCTTGCAGGAAGGCAGGGAAGTGACGAGAGAGGAGGGCCTGCAGTTTGCACGCGCACATTCCATGCTGTTTATTGAAGCAAGGTGGGCAGCGCACACTGTCACTAGGTTGTCTATGCACGAGCCACCAGTGCACTTAAAGCATTCATGGTCATTCGTACTCCTAGATCAAGAACACACCGTGCATGGACATAAGATAGAGCCTATTCTCACAATTTATTTGTGAACTATAAGAAACAATGTGGCGTTAAAAAAATGTACTGTAAGTCTGCAAATTTTCGGCCCATTCAAATTCGGCCTCCCAGGGCTAAAACCCATCAAATGTCCGGCCTGTACTGCTGCCGCCTGTATACACTGTCACACGGAACATTGCAAAACAAAATTTCGGCCGCAACGAATTTTCGGCCAAACATGACCAGGCCGAAAATAGCCGAAAATAAATATACGCCGAATATTGTTGGTTTACAGTACTGCTGCATATGTTCCTTGATGCTTGGCGGTGCTCACTGGCTTTCCTATGGACACAGGAAAACCGGTATGACTGAGTCTCACACGAACCGTGACATTTTTTTAAAACGATACTTGAAGTGTGCTACTGACACTGTCATTGTCACTGTCGCTGTCGTTTGTTCTCCGTTTCTTCTAAGTTTGCGGCACCTGTGCATGGATGGCGAGCACCGTGTTGTCTTTGCACATGCACGTGTGCTTCATTGAGCATCACGTCCCACGAACCAATGGATCTGTGTTGTTTGTGTTCTGGGCCTCTCCATTGGTCCAGTGCTAAGGCGCGTGATCTGTTTGTTTGTGTTCTGGATCTCTCCATTGATGCAGTGCTAAGACGCGTGATGGTGTGCAGGTTGCGTTTGAAGAGCTCGTGGAGAAGGTTAGTCCCTTGGACAGGTGTACATGTGGCTAGAGTCTAGAGAACCCCAGTGCTGCCAACCTTCCGCATTTCCCCGTATTCGTACGGAAAATCTCTCCTTCGTCCGCAGTACGGAATTTGAGCAAGATGGCACGGAGCATTGAAGAGGATCGATCGGCTACAGATATGTATGTAGAAGCATGGCAAGTGCAAGCTGAGCGATGAATATCCCTGTGCCAAAGCGAGTGCATGTCATGCTTCGACTACATGTAGCATAAAATAGCACGTCATGGTACAAATCCCACATGTTTTGCACTAGCAAATCCAGCCACCGACAACCATGTGAGTGTCAAAAAGCAAAACACAAGCAATGCACACGGCAGTGCATTGTCAGTACGCAAAAACACTGCAAAATACGGGAAATCAGAAGTCGCAGTGTGCAAAACAGACCCAGTTGCTTGGCAGCATTGGAACTCAATACAATACAGTCGACTCCTTATATGACGAACAGCTTTGTGCAGAAGAATCCGTTCTTTATAACCGAAGTTCTTTATTACCAAAATGCACTCACACCATACAAGCAACACGCCACGACTGGCATGTGGCCCATGTCAGTATGAGTGCGCCTGGTTTACATGCGGCCCTACAAGATTTGGTTCGTCATAAACGAAAACTGTTTGCAGCAAGGCGTCAATTTTGTATGAGCCCAAACAGGGACATGACCGTGGTTTGCTATATCACAAAATTTGCTATATGCGAGTTCGTTGTGGGTGGAGTCGACTGTAGCTGGATGAAAATGTGTTCTATCAGTATTACATGACTGTACAGTGTCTACCCGTGTTAGTGCGACATCGGTCACAAGATCTCTTATAGGCGATGGTGCCATCGTGAGAATAAAGAATTCAAAAGACCAACCTCATTAGTTGACAACGATGCAAAATCTCCTGACGGAACATGTGTAGTAGCAAGAGTACATAACCCCCAAGAGTGTGCAACTCCAGCTATGGGGTCTGCGACGGCAGAACTTCACATCACGTGATGAACCCGTACACATTGCTTGCACTCTGTGCAAGATAGATACAGGGTTGTACATAACCCAGCTTTGGGCCCAACTCTCTTGTGGTCACTTTGCACTGTTTGCCAGCATTACCTTTTGAACCATGTCGCGTGATGTGAAGTTCTGCCGTCGCAGCACGGCATAGAGGTTGTGCAGGCAGTTGCACATTCTTGGGGGTTATGTACTCTTGGTAATAGTCATACCACGCATTCATATACATACACGTTCTGATAGTAGGCAATACTCAGTATAAGATCAAAATGTTGAACCCTCCAGGTTGTCTACTAATGAAGGTAGACCTATACATGGGTGACACACTGCGTGATTGTTCAATAAATCTCGCACACTACTTGCCCGTGCAATAAATCTCTTTGCTGTTGTGTTGTGTTGCTGATACTGCCAGGTCATTCAAACACCAGGCTTGTGGCAGGCGGAAGGCGGCGCGGGTGCTGGCGGCGCGCCACTAAGTCTGGCTTCCGGCGGAGCGGCAGCCATGGAAACCTGCTCAGGCTACTGCTCCACGCTGTGATGTGCTGCTCAGAATCTGCTCGGTGTCTACACAAAATCCACTCTGTATCCATGCAGTACAGCAGTATGTGCTTGGAGCTCTCAGCCTCGTGCAGCAGTATCTGTAAGAACCGGAGGAGATGGAGGCTATGACCCAGGTTAGAGGTTGACACTGTTTCTGTTCATGGCCCCGTTCGCAACAGTTCTGTTGCCTAGGCCCGGCCAAGTATGCAGCTGCTGCCTTGCCACGCTGCATTGCAGCTATGCACCACACGTAATGGCTCTACAGCTGCATGTACAAGTAAGTATTAGCTGTGCGTCATTGGTCATCTCAGCGATTGATCTCTGTTCGCTGATTTCGCTCGGCTTCTATCCGCCTGTGCATCTCTGCTCCGTGCTGCAAGCAAGCATTGGGGATGGCTTCACACCTTGACCAACTGACCGCAACCTCTGCGTGCGCACGTGTGTGTGTGTGTGTGTGTGTGTGTGTGTGTGTGTGTGTGTGTGTGTGTGTGTGCATGTGTGTGTGTGTGTGTGTGTGTGTGTGTGTGTGTGTGCTACTGACTGTGAGTTCCCCATTTAGCTTAGAACTTTCTTGAGCTTACATGTGTGTGTTAGGCATGTTATCAGCCATGCTGCCAGTACCTGCTGTAATCTGGACGCATAACGGTATCAGCTGCCAGACCTATCCCATATCTCCTAGTGTTTTCGGGCTACTCAATGTCCACAATCAGATTTTTCCTGTGCTTAAAAGTAAGTGCCTGACATTTTCGCTGCACATGCCGACCTTTTATTCTGTCGTTTGTTAGCTTTAGTACAATTTTATCTTGCTCAGCACCTGCAGAAAGACTTTGAATGGAACTGTTGCCCTCACTTGTCTTGAAGGCCTCTGGAAGACAGCTGCTCTATATTTTACTTTCGTCATTGCACGATAGAAGTGCACTTTTGTTTGAGTCAAATGATAAATATCATGCTGCGTGAGTGAACTCGCCTCTGAAATGTTTGTTTCTGTGCTGGCGTGTTTCAAGATATTTCTACCTTTATTCTATGCATCTCGTCAAGTCATGTACATTTTTCAATCATTAGTGCAAGTAACTAGTTTGTTGACAGTACATCGTGCCATGGTACACCAGTGAACCCCAGCACTGGTATATGCCATAAGCAGCTCGTCGGAAGCACTTCATGAGTGGTCCGGCCGATAATGTTGAGCTGGAGATGGTCCGGCCGGAGGGGGTCCGGGGAGCGGGAGGGGGGGGGGGGGGGGTCCTTTAAAAAAATACTCAGGCCATGGCCCAAAAGCCTGACCCAGTCTGACAGCCTCTTTGCTTTGCAGTACAGCCGATCATAGTGTAGGGCATATTATCATAGTGCAGTCGACCTAATTCCTCTGGGTGGGTCTCCAACTCATTGTGTGTGTGACTGCAAAGAAGTACAAAACGAGGCGTTCGCAAAAGAAGTGTACAGACTACATGTATACAGTCACTAGTCATGTGTACGTGTGTGTATGTGTATGTGATTACTGATGGTACATGGTGAGACTGGTGTCGTGGTGACAAAAAGCATAAAAATAAACATGCGTGAGTGACTGGCACATGTACATGCATGGTCGACCAGGTACACACTATTAAAATGTATGATGTGCGTGGAATGCATGTGATGTGGGGCGAATGTCTGAGCTCCAGCAATCTCAACTCAAAAGTGATGATGTAGCTGGCGAAATACAGACATGTCTGTCTCTGTACCGAGCTTCCCTACCAGCTGAGAGCGACGAGTCGGGGCCTGCAAGCCATGGCCTGGTGTTGACTGTTGGCATATGTCGCTCGTGTCGACCTTTGCGATTCGGAGTCTCCTTTTCTTTCGATGGATTTGACGTTTATAAGGTTACAGTCGACTGTTTGCGTGAATCTATTTGCTGCCATCGCGATCCTGAAGCCGCACTGGTCAGATCATCCGACTCGACTGCAGTCTGCAGTGCTGCATGCTGCCACTGCCCTGAGTCTGAGTAGATTTACGGGCACTGCACAGACTGTCTACTCGTAGGTCTACTCCTCGGAGTCTGACTGAGTGCGGTTCATCATCAATCATCATCAGCAGCAGATCTAGTCCGATTGACTTCCTCACACTTGCTCACTCCACCAACCCGTTGGCTTTGGGAGGTGGTTGTCTTTTCATTCGCTGCCACCTATCCCGGTTTATTCGCTGACTAGCGCAGGCCGAGCAGGATCGCCACTTGTGCGTCATGTCGTTCCTACTTCGCTCCTGGTAAGTAACGTTAGTTGTGGTGCACTGTAAGCTGTGCTATGCCTGGCAAGGCAGGGAGAGTGCTCCTGTTTGATGTGTCTTTGGCGTTGATCGAGTTTCGGTGGCAATTATTTCCTATTTTTGTGTTTGCTCGCTAGGCGTGCATCGCAACGCACGGGGCTACTCTCCCGTCGTGCGCCTATTCACGGACTGCGGACCGCGCGCCAAGCGGATGGCCAGCAATATCTACTCGCAGCGAGATCGCTGACATCGACGATCACGATCGACACTCTGCAGCGCCAGCCAGAGCTGGACAGTTTTCGGAAATTCATTGAGGAATACCGTGATGTGTGCGAACCGAAAGAGATCTACATTTGCGACGGCAGCGAAGAGGAACTGAGAAGTCTCACACAACACATGATCGACACTGGTGTAATCAGAGAGCTCAAACACCCATCCTATGAGAACTGGTAAATATACTAATGTACCCGAGATTTAGAGAACACGAACGATTATTTCCTTTTTGTGGTGTTGCACTGCACGCCGTGGTGTGGGACGAGTTAGTAACTACGAGGTCTCCTTTGGGCCCTGTCTGTGTGTCATGGATGTAGTCAGGTGCAGTGGCGGCTCGTTCTGTTTCTACCTGTGTACTGTAGCGCAGTCTACGTGCTTTCACATTTCGTCGAGCGAGGGATGGCAATCGCCATGGACGTCTTGTGCGCTTTGCTCGCCACTGTTCGCACAAGAGCCGGGGAAAGCCTGAGCATGAGATGCTGCGATATTTTTTTCTACCGGCTGCCGTGTTTCCGCCGGTTTACTGATCAGTGCAGTAGGACTAGGAGTTCTTGTGAGAGTGCATGGACTATGTCACAGTATGTGGGGTCATACTACTTACTAGTCTGTACTCGTGCATGCGACGCTGCACGCGACCATTGTTCGGTGTGGGCTCGATGGAGGTGTGGCACAACATGGCGGCGCTGGTGGTCACCTTTACCAGTACGACTCCTACGACTCCTAGTGGCTGACTCCTGTCTGTGTACAATTATCATTAGTCATAGAGACAGTGCAGCAGTACAAGACTATAGTATAGTCCTGCAAGATTGTAAAAAAAAGGAAGGCATGCACATGTAGTGATGTAGAGAAGCATACTTGCCAACCCTACCGGAATTTCCGGGAAAATCCAGGAAAACTCGCTTTCGTCCCGGCATACCGGAAAAGTTATAACATCCACCGGATTTTCGAAAATTGTCCCTCAGCACCTTTTTTGTTGATTTTCGGTTTTTCAATGCTCGCGAGCATAGCAGCTACAAGTGCTGTGCCCACAACGAAGCTCTATAGCGAGCAAGAACTCTAAATGTTGCGAATGTTCGGGCAGATCGAGGAAAAATGGGCAAAATCAAGGAAAAACCTCATCGGTATCAAGGAAACTGTTTGCCAGGGGTTGGCAAGTATGAGAAGGTCCTGAATGTGTGAGGCTCATCCTGGTCCCAGAGATCACATCAAAGACTGAGCGAGTGGCCAGTCCGTTGGATGGCTGCTAAAACCCGGTTGCTGTATTTTCCGGAGTATAATCCGCACCCCCATTTTTTTGCCACGAAATACGGAATCTACCCTATTAATTTATCATCGGAATATACTGTAAAACCGGAAAGCCTAACGAGTCACAGAGTCTTTTTAACGCCCAATTTTTTTCGTTATTTGAAGAAACGTTATCGCGAACCCGGTTTGAGATGTCTGTGTAAAGATGCGCTTACAGATGAGTGACTAGGTAGCCATCGTTAAACTTTCTGCACGTTACCATGCCAAAAATAGAAAAAAACGTTTAAAAAGTTGTTGGTCATTAAACTTTCCGGTTTTACAGTAAGACACACGCCCCCAAGGGGGGGGGGGGGATCTGAGCGTTCAAAGTGCGGCTTATACTCCGGAAAATACTGTCTATCCAGTGTGCATGATACACAGTTGCTTTTGACTCTGTGCGGCCATAGCCCGGTTAGAAGACGAGAGTGTGCTAGTTGCATGAATGCCCAGTGCAAGCAGCAGTCCTTGTTGTACTCGGCCAGTGGACACGGTGACGTTCTGGTAGCCTGTGTGTGAGCAGAACCGTATGACGCAATGTAGCGTAGATGTGAGCACTTGAGTCAGTCTTGGGCGTTGCGTACCGGAAGCACAGTGAACCGGGAAACCTCAATTGCGATCTGGAAACTTTCGTGATTTTCCCGGTGCATGGGTGCGAAATCCTAAAAAAATTAATGTAATGAAGCGTAGAACTGTAGACTGTAGACTAATGAAATATGACATCAATCACAAACATTTCCAGGTGCAAACTTATCTGTGCTCGCAAACTACGAGCTAAAACAAGCAAACTTTTCCCGGTTAAAATGTAAACTGTGAATTTCCATTCGGATAAGTATTTGCGGTCACGTTCTCTACTTGGTCTTGTTGCTGTTGTACATTCTGCAGCTATCTTGCTCGATCGGACCCGGCAGATGTTGCCCGCGTGGAAACCAAGACATACGTCTGTACACCGGAGGAGGAGGATATCATTGCGGAGGGTGCTCGGCGACTGCAGCAGGGCCAGCGCGAAGGCCCGAACTGGATGCCCGAGAGCAAGATGGACATGAAAATGAGATCTCGCCTGGAGAAGTCCATGAAAAGTAAGCTGTGCGTGTGTGTGTGGGGGGGGGGGGGGTACGCGAGTTTTTTATTTGATTGCGCCGCATACACTGATGAATTTCTGGTTTCATAGGATATTCAGCTGTCAGAAGCTTTATTGTGCGTGTTCATGAGTGATTTTGGGAAGGGGCTGCGTATCTATACATCTGGGTTTATGTGAATGTGTGCATTAAAAACCAATTTGGTTATATCTGTGTGTGTGGCATGCATGTAGATCGTCGCATGTACGTGATCCCGTTCAGCATGGGCAAGGTGGGATCACCGCTAGCCAAAGCTGGTGTGCAGCTGACTGACTCGCCATACGTGGTGGCCAGCATGCGCATCATGACGCACGGCATGGGCCAGGAGACCATCAAGTCGCTGCTGGAGAAGAAGGACGACTTTGTGCGCTGCGTGCACAGTGTGGGTCGCCCGATGGACCAGGTGGACTACAACAGCCTGCTGCCGTCGTGGCCGTGCGATCCCAAGCGCGTACTCATCGCTCACTACCCGCGCCGTCGCAAGATAGTCTCCTACGGCAGCGGGTACGGCGGCAACTCTCTGCTGGGCAAGAAGTGCTTTGCGCTGCGCCTGGCCTCCGCCATGGGCCACAATGACGAGAAGAACCCGTGGTACGCGGAGCACATGCTGGTAAGGCTTCATCACTAATAGGGGACCATCTGGAGCTGAAGAGATTCCCTCAGCTTTAACATTCAAATTATATTATAGATTCATTAGTTCGAGGGAAAGTTGAAAGTGGGAAAAGTCTATATTATAGAGTGGAGTGTGTTTTCCTGTTTTTAGCTTTTTATTGGGGCATTCTTCCAGTATCGGTACTGTGGGGTCCTTCACAGCAGGAGTAAATTGGCAGGGCATGGAGGTGCTCAGTGTTTCTTGACTTGGAGGAAGCGCCTACCTGCAGTTGTAACCGTCCCTCCTCTGGCCCGGTGAAGGCGAACAGTTAAAAGGTTGGAATGAAATCAGTGAGCGCACCATACGAGTGCAATTGCTGTGCAATAAAATGCCTGGTTATCCAAGCGACGAATTATCCCAGACGCCTTATCGAACTACATTGAAGGGCAACTTCAGCGGACAGGTGTAATTCTCTCCCATCCGACTGCAGCCAAGCAGCTTTCTTTGCCATTACATGTATATAACAGCTCTTTGCTACAGCAATTAGGTACCGTATTTTCCGGAGTATTAGCCGCACTGGAGTAGACCCCCCCCCCCCCATTTTTTTGCCACGAAATACAGACATCGACCCTATTTATCACCGTTATTTTGATCATCGGAGTATAAGCCGCACCCCCCCCCCTTTTTGGGGGTGAATTTTTGAGTGTTCAAAGTGCGGCTTATACTCCGGAATATACCGTAGCCTATTCTGTGGCATCTTTTGTGTCACCTTTTCAACTTTATTTCACGCAATTACTCACGGTACTGTAACAGGACTCGCAGTCTGCGGGGATTGCCCTATTAAAATGCCTTGGCGACAACAACAACAACAGCTGACTTTACTTTACACCTAGAAAGAGGACAAAGGATGCAAGCATGAATAAAACAAGCATGTGTGAACGTAGTGCGACAACAATAGACACAGCCAGTGGATATAACTAACAACCACCTGCAAATACTAGGCATGAAACTTCAGGCTCTTCACTAGCCACATTTTCTAAAGTTTTCCACAAGTATATGTTCATGCCTACCTGTCAGGAGGTTGTTGGTTATCCATCGGTTGTCTATTGTTGTCGCACTATGTTTCACACTTGTTCCCTTTCTTCGCACTTGCACCTTTTTGGTTATTTCCATCGTGTTCCACCTGACGAGAAGGCATGAAAGTATGCTCGTGTGAAACTTTAGAATATATTGCTTGGAAAGAGCCGAAGTTTGTCCTCTTTCTAAGCGTAGAGACATTTTTGTCTTCAAGGAAACTTTTGCGTATTTCAAATCGAGTCATTACTTTAGTAGCGCTTTATGTTTGCGCCTTGGAGAAGTGTTGGAGCTGGGTGTCAGGTCACCGAATGTCTCAGTACTCCTTGTCGGTTTTGTGCCATTTTGTCGCACTCGCTGACTGTATAAGATCTGGTTACGTTGGTGGACAGTTTGTCATAACTCGTTACATTTTGTCCTTTTCCTTTCTTCATCATAACTATATTGGCTCACCATCCGAGTTCAATTATGTGTAGCTCTTCTCAATATGCCATGGGTAACAGCTTTGTCACTGCTGAACATGCCATGTCCTCATGGCATGCCTGCCTGTGCCGAATTGTGTGGGCCGGCTATGCATTGCATTCAGTGCATCTGTGCATTCAGTGTATCGGTGTATCAGTGCATTCAGTGCATCTGTGCATTCGGTCTATCGGTGCATTCAGTGCATCGGTGTATCAGTGTAGGGTGTCTGTGTAGGTACACGTACTAGGCTTCATTCCTGTCCGTTTGTTTTCTGTGTGTTTTCTACTGTGTGCTCCGCTCAGATCATGCGTCTGGAGAAGGGAGACAAACACAAGTACATAGCGGCTGCATTCCCCAGCGCGTGCGGCAAGACCAACCTAGCCATGATGCAGCCGTCCTTGGATGGCTGGGACATCAAGTGCGTCGGCGACGACATTGCGTGGATGCGCTTCGACGAGGAGGGTAACCTGCGTGCCATCAACCCTGAGAACGGCTTCTTTGGTGTCGCTCCCGGCACCAGTGCCAAGACGAATCCAGTAGCCATGAAGATGATCCACAAGAACACCATCTTCACCAACGTGGCCTATACCGAGGAGGGCGAGGTGTTCTGGGAGAACATGGGCGCGCACCCTGACTTCTCCAAGGTCAAGGTGATCACGTGGCGTGGCGTGCCGCACTGGAGGCCCAACATGGTCAACATCGACGGCATCCCGATCACGGCCTCGCATCCCAACTCTCGCTTCTGCACGCCGATCAACCATTGCTCCATCCTGGACAAGGAGGGCGCCGCGGACCCGAAGGGCGTCAAGATCGACGCCATCGTTTTCGGCGGTCGTCGCGCTGACACCGTACCGCTGGTGTTCCAGTCGCGTAACTGGAAGCATGGCGTGTTGATGGGAGCGTCGATGAGGTCCGGCGCAACCGCCGCTGCCACCGACGTCAAGTCCAGCATACGCTCCGACCCGTTTGCCATGCTGCCATTCTTCGGCTACAACGTCGGCAACTACTTCCAGCACTGGTTGAACATGGAGAAGCCAAACCACAATCTTCCCAAGATCTTTCAAGTCAACTGGTTCCAGAAGGACGAGCGCGGTCAGTTCATGTGGCCAGGTTTCGGCGAGAACATTCGCGTGCTCGACTGGATTTTCCGCCGCTGTGACGAACAGCCGGCGGAGAGTGGTATAGCCCGCGAGACGCCCATAGGCTTTGTACCCAGCCAGAACGCTATTGACACAGACGGCTTGAAGGACGACGTGCCAATGGATCGCCTGCTGGATGTCAACAAGCATCTGTGGACGGAGGAGCTGAAGGCCGTCAAGCAGTACCTCGAGAAACAAAATGGAAATGATCTGCCCCAAGAGCTACGCAGTCAGCTGCGTGAGCTGGAGGACAGGCTCGCAGCCAGCCGCAGCTAAGCCGAGTGCACAGTTTTTGTATTGGTGGCGTTCACTGCGCTGTACATAGCTTTGTGCAGCCTAGCTGGTGTGTATATTTGTAAAGCAACACGCTATCCCTGCACAACATCGGCTCCGTCTTGCTAGCTTGCCAGCAAAGGGACGGACGTGCAGTTCTCTTCACGGCTCACTCCTGTTTCCGTTTACTCGTACAGCACATCGCACTAGAGGCGCAGTAGGTGTAAGTACGGTCTCTTGTTGCTTAGTACTCATCTCCATATGTCTTGCATGCCAAGCCACAGTTTGGGTCATTCTGCTTGTGGCTCTGATTCGTTTTTTTCTTCGTGTGAGAAGATAATAAGGGCTTGCTCTCCTGTACTGAGTACGGAAAGCAACTAGAACAAATTGCGTCTAAATGTCATTGTCAATATTCTTTTCGAATTGATGCCGATTTGTTTTTGTTTTTCTTGTGTACGTAGTATCAATATCCAGAGCTGGTCATTCTTCTCCAGTTGTGTGTGTGTGTGGTGCTCTCATTGCCAGCTTCATGCCAATAGGGTTGTCTCTCTCTCTCTCTTCTTCTCTCTGTCCTCATTCTCTCAGGCTCTTTGCGCCGGTAGTCGATTACTATTTTTCTCTTTGAAACAAAATTTGTCTGATCTCTCAGTCAGTATACCAAACCAGTAATAGTTACTTTGCTGAAGTTCGGCAATTAGGTATATGTAGCTTATTTTTGCCGTTTTGTTCAGTTCTAAACAAAGTCAAAAATTATAATATCGTCGCGGAGCATCGTGCACGAACTATGACCTGATCTTCTTTACTTATTATCACGAACGATACCGTCAGCCCATGCATCTAGTTCAATGAGTATGTTGTGAAGCAATAACTAACTTGGTTCTCAAGCTAATGACAACCAGGATTTGTTGCGCGCGCGTGTGTGTGCGTGGATAGAGTGTCTGTGTGTGTGAGAGAGAGGGGGGGGGGGGGCAGTGCAGCAGGCTGCAAGTTTTGATAGAGGCAGTTGCTGCTACAAGACCAACAGGCATTGTGTTGCCTGTTCACTGTCACTAATGAATACAGTGTCATAGAGGTACATGTAGTGGAGTCAATTACTATGATGTACACCACCTCACTACACAAAGCCGAAGGTGCAAGGTCTGACTGGCAAAGAGCACTCCTTCTCTCTCTCTCTCTCTCTGCCCCAGAACCAGATTCCGGCCTGCACGGTGGACTGGTGCCTCGTCGAAAGGCAGAACTAGCTGGTAGGTCTCCATCGGTTGCATGCCTGGCACATAGACGCGATAATATTATGGGTGTTGTGATTACGTCAGCCATGCCAGGATGCTTTGGCCAAGTCGGGGTGCAGTGATACACTACCTCAAGCGAAACCACGGAAACCAACTTATACTCCATACACATGGGGGATTATGGACTGTTGATGGGATTATGGACTCTTGATTGGGGGGGGGTTATGGACTGTTAATGGGATTGTGTACTGTTGACGGGATTATGGACTGTTGATGGGGGACTATGATGGACTCTTAATGGGGGACTATGGACTCTTGATGGGGGACTATGGACTCGCTGACTCACCACCATAAGTAAGTGGCATAACATCATTTGCATAACCTCCACATATGGCCATAGGCTGATACTAGCGGGTGACTTGGCTCGGATTGCGATGCAAGTACGCTTCGACGATCCCATCTCCACTCGAGCACAGTATACTGTAGGCAATGCAAGACTGGTGATATCCTCATGGCTGGTTGGACATCAGTTACCGTAGCCTGGCGCCGGGAGTCGTAAAATACCGGTATTTTACGACTCCTGGCCAAGCGCCTGGCACATAGACGGTGCAAACATGATGAGTTGGGTCCAGGACCAGTGAGTTACACGACTCCCTGCTCGGTTTGGATATTGTGAGATGTTTTGTTCTGGCTGCAGTATAGTATAGTAGAGTACAGCAATGGTGTAACAAACACACCTCGTGAAATGGCGGTACATACACGCCTTCTCACATACTACTGGTAACGCTCACCAAGCTGCAAAGGGCTGGCAAAGAGTACAATGTAATGTACTCCTCTCATCACCACCATCATCACCGCTATCACAGCCACCACCACCACAACCAATACGACTCCCTGTACTGGTACTAAGGCACTGAACGCTAACGCTCGATGCAAACTTCACAGCAAAGACTTGAGAAGAAGAAACGGCAAAAGCATGCTAGCACCCGACCGGAGACTGACTAAGAGTGCAAGAAATTCTACAAAAGAAATTAAAATACACTCAAATAATGCCGACAAAACACCAAACGAACACAACATGCGTGAGAGAGGCAGAGCCAGCGGTTCATCTTGACTTCACTTGCCGCGAGCAAAAGCCAAGAGAGAGAGAGAGAGAGAGAGAGAGAGAGAGAGAGAGAGAGAGAGAGAGAGAGAGAGAGAGAGAGAGAGCGTAGAAAAATACACAGTGAAGCGATCTCCATATGCCAGTTGAAACATGAATGGCAAGCATGCAGCAGCAGCAGCAGTGGGGAAGGCTAGTTCCATCCACAGCTTGTGACCAGCAGGATCGCTGAAAACAAAGGAATAGAAAATAGCGGTCATTCTCGGTAGGAAAACAGGACGATGGTCGGGCGAATTGAAAAATAATAGAAGGCTCTGAGCGAGGCCGTTCCGACTTGCTGAACTCAGAGCAGCACATTAGAACATAGCTAGTATGTACATACACGAAGACTGCACACATGGTCAAACTCGCCCTCGCACGCTGCACACACACATGGTCAAACTTGCCCTCGCATTCGCATTCTCACTCGCACACACACATAGCTACACATCATCGCTCTTGTATGCCTCCACACCCACACACACCTACACCCACATCCATACACAGGTACTACACGCATATTTACATAGCAGTATGAAGCACACACGAAGAGATACAAACACACAGCAATTGTGGACATACTGAGACATTGCAAATCACAGAATCGTACTCGGCCAGCATCGCAATTATATACCCAGGCTTTCGCGATGCATACGCACACACGCCACTGGTTGCGTACGGCCATCGATCCTCAAGTTGTGCTCAAAACTCGCGAGACCAGTGTTGACATTGAAAGCAAGCAGCAGCAAGACAAGCAAGACTCTATCCCCATCCGCTCAACAGGTCTGATGGCACAATGCGACCACACACGACCACGCACCAACAGACAGCACAGGCTGGCGTGGAAGTAGCACGGTGGCGACGGAGACGGCGGTATTAGGCCAAGAAGCGGCGATATGCGGCATAGGCACTCCCGGCAACGACGGCTGCGGCCACCGACCACTTGACATAGGTAGACCAGGGAAGCGTATCGGCGGAGTCAGATGTTGCTGCTGCGGAGGTGCGGCTGGCTTTCTTTGCCAGCTCTGGGCTGTGTGCACCGCGTCGCTGTTGCATCCCACTGTAGCAACAGGAACACAGATACAGAGTGCAAGAACACACATACACCAAGTTACAGATCAGCAGCAACATAGAAACTTGCTAGAAAGTATGCAGGACCAATTGAAAGCTAACAATGTGTGGCAAGTTACCCCATCAAACATAACAAGTTATCAAGAACAAAGACCGGCCAGAAAGGTAAGCACTACAGCAAGTAAAAAGTCAACTCACCCAGTGGCAGTGGGATCAGCGATAATTGCTGCTGCTGCTTGTGACGAAGAGGCAGCTGCGGCGGACGGTAGGGGTTGGCCAGGCTCAGTGTCCTCGGTGGCGCCTTCGGACTGCCCGCTTGCTTTGGCCTGGCCGTTGCTGTTTAAAGGACTCTTTGCTGGCCGCTTGGGCGGTGGCTGGTCGCCAGTCAGTGAGAGGTCCTCCTCCGCCTGTCGCTTGCACGGCGGCTTGTCCTGTGTTGCGTCATCATCCTGTACAGCAGCAGCAGCAGCCGCAGCTGGCTCATCAGCAGTGGCTGCAGTAACTTTGGTAGATGGTGTGGCCTCAGCTGCCGGCTTCTCAGTTGTCTTATAGTCGGCGACAGGCACAGGAGGTGCGGTCTCTTGCGTCGCAGCCTCTGTTGGCTCGGTGTCGTCATCACCGGTGGTGGAGGTGGGGGCAGAACTGGGCAAGTTGATACGCTCTATACCCTCAGCAATAGCAAGGTAAGCGAAGCGCAGCTGCTCCGGTGTCTGGATGAGGCCAAAGCGCTGGCGTCGCATCCGCTGCAGATACTCCTCAATCTTAGCGCCGGGCAAGTCACCTCGCAGTTCAATCTGCCCAACACGGAGCACAAGCACAGGCAGCAGCAGAGCTTGCACAACTCAAACAACTTGTCAGCTGACACACACACACACACACACACACACACACACACACATACACACTTATACTCGTACTCCTGCCCAGCGCTGACGCGATGATAGCGAACACGCTAGGTTACACATAGCAACTTGTGCTGGGATTACACCATTCGAACAGCTTGCAAGGCTGATGAATTGACCTCCACTAATTTTTAGCCTGGTCTACACCATACGGCTGGTTGAAGTGGCACGCACGCACACACACGCACACACACACACTAGAAACATACATGCAGGGCACGTCGGAAGAATTGTCCGTGTTCAGCAGATTAAAAAAAAAGAGGCAAGTCAGTGGCCATGTCGCAACAGGGATGAAAAGCGCATAGCCACCTGACTGACCAAAAAAGGTCGATACATACAACAAATCTCCAATCGCAGGAAAGTGCACAATGAATGCAGACTACCTAGGGGCAACAAGCGGAAAGCTATTTTGGGGCTGGAGACCATGCAAATACAGTGCTGTGGTCCTTACCTCGCGCAGGCACACATCTACCAGAATGAGAGTGCCGGATCTGCCAATACCAGCACTGCAAACACAACACACAACACAAAACACACACCCACAAGATACTGTAAAACATGTAAATCTAACGTTTTAACGAGTTAAATTTCTTCGTTATAATAAGTTCTGTTGAGGCTGTAATGCCTCGTATGTGTTATGTGCAGATATGCCCGGAGACTGCAAGTTCGGTGGCGCATCTTCTCGTCAACCTACGGATTTCGGACAATCGTTAAATTTGTGACTCATAACATGTCTTACAGTAGGGGAAAATGAGAGACCGTCCAACATGTTTGTCATGTGCAGTGTTGCCACATCATTATAGCCAAATATCAGTAGGATAAAAAAATCAAAATGCATCATCCGGGGGCTTCACCCCCGGACCCCCTCCCCTATACAGCGACCTCGATACACGCACACGCGCGGCACTGATAAGAAAAATTTCACGTTTTGCGTGAGACTCAGGCTGAGTTCGCAGATTTTTCTCGAGACGGATGATGATTTCGCTTAGCGCCTTAGGAGAGAGCTATGGAAACACGCGTAATGAGCAGTAAAAGCCAAAAATCTGGATCATGACTTCTAAACTACGCATAAGGTCAAACTTGGACACTTTCATGGCTGTTGTCGGCAGGAGAAGGTCAATTGTCGGCAGGTCGTGACATGCCTCAAAAATCGGCAGGCTACTGACATGTCGGCAGGTGTAGCAACACAGCATGTGACTAAATCTGTGCACGAAGTGATCATTGCAAGTGAACAGTGGAACCAACATGGCCGACATCATGTGACCCATAAAGGCAAGGATTCACTGGTGCTGGAACCAACATGATGGTCCTGTATGGTCTTGCAATAGATGTGCAACATCTCTATTGCTATAGCCCGTTGGATCACACAGCCAGTTTCAGCGCGCACACACACACACACACACCATGTACCATGTATACGCCCGTCGCAAGAGAAGCACGCAAATCTGCAAATGCACTGGATGTGTACCCACAGATTTTCTCTTATAGCAACGATAGCGAACAATATCTGAATGAGACAGATCAAGACTTGCGCCGGATAACTGTCGAATCCACACAACTGGCGAAGCCATGTGAATCGACCACCAATGCACACCTGGTCTACACCACACGGAGTACATCGGCATAAAATGGCCAAGACAGTTACCTATGCACACCCTACACTTGCTGGGGTAACCAGTATAGACAGCACGCTGCTTTGATAGAAGCAGACACTAAATGCACTGGTACCTTGAAGTGAAATCGGAGTTACTTTACCAACCAGCCTCGGCTACTGAGTACTGGGAACCCAGAGCCAACAGACATACCAACAACCTTAGCCATGAAAGCTATTATAGTAACGACACACTGGATTGTGGAGCCGAAACTAGTCCAACTTCCAAATGCCTTGGCAAGGAGGTAGCCTTCCGACACACACACACATGCACACACGCACGCACACACACAATAATAGATAGATAGATAGCTGGAGAGAGAGAGAAAGAGAGAGAGAGAGATTGAGTAGCCAAGGCCATCACAGTGCACTCACCTGCAGTGAACAACAAGGCTGCCAACATCGCTGTCAAAACAGCCAGAGTCGCGCAGACCCCACAGGTAGTTGAGAAAGTCCTCAGCAGTGTTAGGAAGGTGGAAGTCAGGCCACATGCGATAGTGAAAGTGCAGCACTTCACGAGCTGGCTCATCACTCTGAGCAGGTTAGCACATAGACCACAGAAAAGAAATTCTTGTGAGGCAGTGCGAGGCAGCATACATGTTACCATATGTGCCAGGGTTAGCATGAAAGACGAAGACACACACACAAAAAGCAGGATCTACCCCCCCCCCCCCCCCCCCCCCCCATTTCGCCCTCCATCTCGGTCATAGGAAGCAGTCATTCACAGTCTCAGCACATGGCAACAACAACAGTAGCACAACACGTACGCACAGTAGACTGTGTCGAAAGCCATACCTCACTGTTGCTGAGGGACAGGGTGTTGATAACAAAGCCACCCTTGTCAACACTGGACTCCAGCTTGATGTGAAACGGTCCAAAGGACAATGAAGTGAGCGGCTCTCCGTCTGCGCTAGTAACATCACGAGCAGGGAAATACTGGTGGCACTTTCTCTGAGATAAGGCAACAGAACAGCGACAACAGACCAAAGGCAGAGTGTTAGTCCAACCCGGCATACACCGTCAAACGCAGCAGCTGCTTAAAAAAATGCAATCACAGCTTCATAAAGGAGATAAAATTGCTCAACAAAGAAGAAAACCGATCAGCAAGTAGGGCATAACACATGGCTGCCACTTTTCGGGATCAACTCTTCACGTATTTCGTAGGTACATGTACATAATGTACAGCTATCTTAGTACATTGGCAAGTATGCCTACAGTGCTGCTCAAAGAAATCCGATCATCGAGGGAGTCAATGTCATGGCGGATGCTCTGCAGCCCCAGACCCGCCAACACTGGACTGTGCACTGCCGCAAAGCGCAAGCTCGCCTCAAGCGATCAGATTCAATTGAGCAGCACTGACTATATGTGCGTACACAGCTAATATCTATACGTACATCCGCAGGGCTGGTGTCACGGGCTTCTACAGGAATAAGCCCAGCTTGAATACGCGACATTACCCCGGGTACTTTAACAATACACGGGCACACATGTATAGGCACACCAGTTTCGCCAAGATTTAGTTCGCACATCTCTATCTGCATAGAAATCGGCACTAACTTACCATTGCCTTCTCCACAACTTTATTCAACATGGCAACACCTTTAGACTTCTTCTCCCAGACCATCTGCCAGAAATGCTCTGCCGTATGCGGCAGTGGGCCCTGTAGTAAAACGTCAAACAAATGAAGGTTATTCAACATGATGAGACTGTTCTACAGCAGTTGCCATCCAGTACAGAAGTCAAGCGGGATTACTGTAAAAGCCTTGTACATAACGAAGTGCTAATTCAGGAAACCGTATACAGAAATCGATACATATACTGTTGCTATGTAGCGTTGAGAATGAGTGAGAATCGTTACCCTTGGTACACGTAAACCGGTCACTTTTAGGAAATCGTTATATATGCAGCTCGTTAGAATAATGGCGTTTACAGTATACATACACAGCTGCACAACACAGTGCACAGCACAGTGCACAGCACAGTGCACAGCACAGTGCACAACACAGTGCACAGCACAGTGCACAGCACAGTGCACAGCACAGTGCACAACACAGTGCACAGCACAGTGCACAGCACAGTGCACAACACAGTGCACAGCACAGTGCACAGCACAGTGCACAGCACAGTGCACAGCACAGTGCACAGCACAGTGCACAACACAGTGCACAGCACAGTGCACAGCACAGTGCACAACACAGTGCACAGCACAGTGCACAGCACAGTGCACAACACAGTGCACAGCACAGTGCACAGCACAGTGCACAGCACAGTGCACAGCACAGTGCACAGCACAGTGCACAGCACAGTGCACAACACAGTGCACAGCACAGTGCACAGCACAGTGCACAACACAGTGCACAGCACAGTGCACAGCACAGTGCACAGCACAGTGCACAACACAGTGCACAGCACAGTGCACAGCACAGTGCACAACACAGTGCACAGCACAGTGCACAGCACAGTGCACAACACAGTGCACAGCACAGTGCAGTGCACAACACAGTGCACAGCACAGTGCACAACACAGTGCACAGCACAGTGCAGTGCACAACACAGTGCACAACACAGTGCACAGCACAGTGCAGTGCACAACACAGTGCACAACACAGTGCACAACACAGTGCACAACACAGTGCACAACACAGTGCACAGCACAGTGCACAGCACAGTGCACAGCACAGTGCACAACACAGTGCACAGCACAGTGCACAGCACAGTGCACAGCACAGTGCACAACACAGTGCACAGCACAGTGCACAGCACAGTGCACAACACAGTGCACAGCACAGTGCACAGCACAGTGCACAACACAGTGCACAGCACAGTGCAGTGCACAACACAGTGCACAGCACAGTGCACAACACAGTGCACAGCACAGTGCAGTGCACAACACAGTGCACAGCACAGTGCACAGCACAGTGCACAACACAGTGCACAGCACAGTGCAGTGCACAACACAGTGCACAGCACAGTGCACAGCACAGTGCACAACACAGTGCACAACACAGTGCACAACACAGTGCACAACACAGTGCACAGCACAGTGCACAGCACAGTGCACAACACAGTGCACAGCACAGTGCACAGCACAGTGCACAACACAGTGCACAGCACAGTGCACAGCACAGTGCACAACACAGTGCACAGCACAGTGCACAACACAGTGCACAACACAGTGCACAGCACAGTGCACAACACAGTGCACAACACAGTGCACAGCACAGTGCACAACACAGTGCACAACACAGTGCACAACACAGTGCACAACACAGTGCACAACACAGTGCACAGCACAGTGCACAGCACAGTGCACAGCACAGTGCACAGCACAGTGCACAGCACAGTGCACAGCACAGTGCACAACACAGTGCACAGCACAGTGCACAGCACAGTGCACAGCACAGTGCACAGCACAGTGCACAACACAGTGCACAGCACAGTGCACAACACAGTGCACAACACAGTGCACAACACAGTGCACAGCACAGTGCACAGCACAGTGCACAACACAGTGCACAACACAGTGCACAACACAGTGCACAACACAGTGCACAGCACAGTGCACAACACAGTGCACAACACAGTGCACAACACAGTGCACAGCACAGTGCACAACACAGTGCACAGCACAGTGCACAACACAGTGCACAACACAGTGCACAACACAGTGCACAACACAGTGCACAGCACAGTGCACAACACAGTGCACAACACAGTGCACAACACAGTGCACAACACAGTGCACAACACAGTGCACAGCACAGTGCACAGCACAGTGCACAACACAGTGCACAGCACAGTGCACAACACAGTGCACAACACAGTGCACAGCACAGTGCACAGCACAGTGCACAACACAGTGCACAACACAGTGCACAACACAGTGCACAACACAGTGCACAGCACAGTGCACAACACAGTGCACAGCACAGTGCACAACACAGTGCACAGCACAGTGCACAACACAGTGCACAACACAGTGCACAACACAGTGCACAACACAGTGCACAGCACAGTGCACAGCACAGTGCACAACACAGTGCACAACACAGTGCACAGCACAGTGCACAGCACAGCACAGATAAATGATACGGCAGAGGTTGCGAACTGCACACCGTACATGCGTAGCTACTCACCTGAGTGAGAATATACTGTCGGCCAACATCCTCAATCTGCACACACCATGTACCACACGCACACACACACACGCACGCACACGCATGCACACACACACACACAAGCAAGCACACACACACACACACAAGCAAGCACACACGTTACCACCGGAACCACCAAAACATAGGCAAACACGAACAACCCTGGACACACGAGCACAAGTTGACAAACTTGCTACAGGTGCAAAACATACCCCGGCACCACGCTCTGGAGCTAGATTTACTATCGCTTCACCAGCACAGATCCTGACTCTAGATAGACTACAGCTCTTTAGAAAATGCAACACCATCCAAAACAGTTCATGCGAGAGTCAGACAAAGGGACTATCGCATCAGCAACAGTCACCACATAGGCAAAGAAGAAATGATTCTAGAAACACACAAACTGCAGTAACTACAGAGGTTCTACAAAACGAAAATGCGCACAAACGTTCGCTCTATGTCATGAATCTAAGTCATGAAGTGAGAAACGTCACACAGACTCTCGCAACTTTGGACGCAAAACTCGCAGGGAGCGCGGAATGAACTTTCGTGTGATCGGGTAAACGGATTCACCGCGTACGTGCACTTGGGCTCGTGCAAACTACGAGAATGTGCAGAACACAAAGTTCGTGCGAAAATTCGCACAGTTGCGCAAGGTCCATTGCGAACCTTCGTTCGAATTTTTGTTTTGCAGAACCTCTCCACTACTAATTGGCTCGTGAGCAACACTGGCCCACACTCAATCCTGATGATGGTTATTTTATGACTGAAATGCTGAATTTTTTCCTGAAATGAATTTGTGAAAAGCAGTGATTGAGTGTGAGCCAGTGTTGCTCACAGGCCAATTTTTACTTATGAAGCTGCGTGATGCGTCCTACAAGATTTTAAATAGACTGTCTAGTACTTAGTATGATAATGGCCAGTGCTCACATTATAAGCGCATGCGCATGTCCGGACATAAGCACATGCGTTTATATGAGAGGAAGTACGGTATGAAGCTGCGTGATGCGTCCTACAAGATTCTAAATAGGCTGTCTACTACTGAGTATGCTAATATTAATGGCTAGAAGGGGAAGCCCAAGCACTGACCTCCACAAAGTTAGCATTGATGTAGTCACACTGACCGCCCTCTACCTCAAGCGAAACACGGGATTGATCAGCTACAGGCGGATAGAAGACAAACAAGCAAAGAAAGGAGGCACGTCAGCCAATTTACATTCAATACAAGTTCAACATTAGCTCCGGGGACACAGATACCAGCCAATCTGCCAACAACTGTAAGCACACATGTTTCTAACAATTTCGAACATTTTTGTACACTAAGGCAGGATCGAAACAGCTGTATGAAGGAATTCAGTACCGACGGATGTGTTGCTTTGCTGGCGGTGTGCTGTGGCAACATATCGACGTCGGCTAGAGAGCGTAGTTATGGTGTGGTGATTGAGGAAAATAAGGCAGGGTATTACTATTAATATTATTATTATTTGCATTTTCGCGTCATCGTCAATCAAATGATTGATGATTTCGCTTATGCTGAGTGGTGGTAAACAGAAATCAAATATGGAAGATGCTGATGTCAAGGCAGAAAACAACATGAGGGACGGAAAAAAGAAAACAGGATAAGTATGGATATCGCATGCGATACGTTATGATAGTTATTGCATGTTGATATTGTGATAGATGGTGTGATTCTATTGCTACAGTTTAAATACTGAGGGAGTTGATAATCATAATGGTATTATGGTATTCGGGTAAGATAGTATTTGGATGTGTGATGATATTACATTTCCAGTTGATATTGAGTTACACATTACTTTGGTTGTTGTGTTTGGCTTTTAGAGAACAAGGGAGAGAGAAAGAGAGAGAGAGAGAGAGAGAGAAAGAGAGAGAGAGAGAGCAGGGTATGAAATTTAAAAAAATGCGTAAGCCATAGTTTGGACAGGTCATACATATGAATATTCTGTGCACACAAACGAGCTATAATAAAATACAACTTCCACGTATGAAATACTCTTGTATGAAATTATGACCCATCGGCGGCTATCGGTGCTTGCCCGCAAGAGCCCGTAGCATTGACAGTCTGTGCAATCTCTACCTAGTGCCGTGACGGCAGCATTTCACATATCATGACATGGCTCGAGAAGATATGCTGGAAAACAGCGCAAAGCGACCACCAGAGAGCCGTACCCAAAGCAGGGGCTATCACGCACAGAGTGCAGATAGCGTACACGGGGTTATCGGTGATTTCAAATTCTGCCGTCGCGATCCCATGGACTGAAGCTGAACACTCTTGGAAGATATGGCTTCTTGTCGCCGGGCACAAATCTCATCAGCCAACTCCGGCCCAACTGATGAGGGGCGATTCTTCAAAACACAGCGTATTGAGCCGGGAGTGGCACTGTCTGGTCAGCTGAGCTTGCCGCGTGGAAGGTTTGATAGACTTGTCGTGTGCTCTGAATGGCAGTCCTGAGCCAGCCAAGTGTCAAGTCAATAAATAATAATATAAATATTCGCGGGATCCGCGTTAGCATCACTTGAATGGTCAGAAACACACAAACTAGCCTTCGCTTCCGCAGGCCACCACTATGCATTTACACCTTCAGTGGCGAATGCAGACCTCACAAGTGAGTCAGGGGAGAGGAGGCGAGTCTCTCAACCAATCAGGCGTGTAACGGCCCATAACCCTGTAAACTGCATTCTTGGTATCCTCACTCCGAGCTGTGAGTACCCAGTTGACCGTGGGTGTCGGCGCAGTTCAACACGCGTAAAAAGTCTTTTTACACGCTCCCTGCTGCCAGCGCGGGTCTCGAACTCAGGACCTCATGATTCGCAGGCAGGCCTGCAAACCAATCGGCCATATGTGTTGGTGTCAAGTCAAGTCGGCAGGAAAGCGTGAACTCACACGTAGGGTGTAATAGACACCAGCAATGCTCTTCTAAAAAAAAAAGTCATACCAACGGCTGTCTAACGCAATCACCCTCTGACAAATCTGTATGGATGTGTGCATGCTACGCGTTGCGTGCACATCCTTAGTTACACTGCTCCGGGTTAAAGAGATCTGAGTGTACACTGTGGAAAGCCTGGGAATGAATGAATCAATGGATGTGGATTCGGACTCGAGGGTTACAATTGAGGGCCTTCAGGCGGACATATATGGCAGGGTCAGAGTAGGTGGCCACAATGGTGACCTCTAGTGTACTGCAATGCCAATGAAGGAAAAGCAACGCCGAGCTATAATTATTCGATGTGTGCTTGTGCTTGAGAGTTTCAAAGCACTGCATAGCTATCAACAAGCGAATCCTTGATTGGCCGTGAGCACCGATTATCATACAGTATCGTGACACTGGTCTGTACAACCTCATCGCGGAGACAGTAGGATCATCGACGGCAGTAGTCATCCATGCATCCGCCACCTATTTTATTATGGCATTTCTGGAGCGATTCGTTTTTTGGGGGCCTGGTGCAGTGATGTGAAGTATAATTATACTTTCATATTTTCCACAGCTTAGACACATGCACACCACAGTCCATGTGCCTGTGGACCTTTTTCTCGTGCATCACTTATTGCCAACACTGCAGCTGAAAGTCAACACGTCAAGGCATGAAGTGGGTGATTGCAGTGAATCACCACAACTGGTACACCCTGGGTAAACATCAGGGATACGCGTCCCACCAAGACACTGATTCCCACACTGGATATGCATGCAGGCGTTCAGTGACATTGGGGGACACTCAAAACACACAACTAGGTGGGGCACGATTGAGGAAGTCGTTCGCCAGCGCACTGAAGCCAATGCCACTAGCACGGTCACAGGCAATAGCAATTAAACAGCTACACACCCAATGAAGACATACACTAGTGCACCAGCACACGACGTAAAGCTGAATAGGAGAGGGCAATTTCAGTGTCCAGCTGTACATCACTACATTTTCTAATAAAAGAAAAAGAGAAATAAAAAAATAGGTCTCAAGAAAATCGAACGGAAAGTTCTGACTCACCTGGCAGAACATCACGATATCGATTCCTTGTTTTGCTTTCTGCCTCCTTGGCCACAGTGCAGGGAGACATATTCCTTACGGCATCCTGATGCAGTTTCTACAGGTCAGAAGCCAAGGTTCAACAAGATATGGCGTAAAATCGTCAAACACTGAATCTCGAATGGCATTCAGTTTCGAGCCTACTAACGGTGAACAACGTTGTCCAGCCATCATTGTCATCCATAAAGGCGATGTAATCGTCCAGGGTTTCAACGACACTCTTGTCCATGATGATGCTTTCCTGGGCACAGCCAACTAGTCTTCTAGAATATCAGCAAAGGGATGGACACGCCGTGCACCTGGAGGACACACGGGTGAATGCAGGCAACAACCTACAACAAGTACAAACTGTGTGTGCGGAGGTCAACTGGTTTCCTGCATGCAAAGCATTTTACCATGTTTTACAGGGCCTACAAAAACACCAAAAATAAGCCCTAAAACACGAATATGAAGCTGATGACGTAAAATCTACTTGTCATACCGCATACCGGCGCGCGCGGCGCCCGCACGCGCCCGCTGCCCGACTACGGGTACGGGTCGAATTTTTTTCGTGCCAAATAATTAATTCCGCGCGTAGCTAGCTACGTCACGAACAGGTCAGTAGCAGCCGGCTAGCCGTGCGCGCGCTACGGATTTTTTAATTTTTATACGTCGTTTGTTTATTGAGTTTTCTGAAAGTAAAAAAGTTTTTCTTCCTTTGTCTTTGGTTGTTTGTGTTTCACCTCGACGATCATGGCCAGTTTAAAACTTGGAACATCGTTTCCAACAGCTTTGCCGACTTTGCCTACAGCTTCTACTGCGACTGCTGCTACTACGAGCGCAGCGGCCGCCACAAGTATCAAGCTTGGGGCCACAACTGCTGGTGTCACTGCTGCTACAGGTGCTGCTGCTACTGGTGCTGCTGCTACTGGTGCTGCTGCTACTGCCGTCGGGACTTCTCCATTGACATATAAGCAGCTAGAGGAGCAAATCAACAAGTGGAGCTTGGAATTGGAGCAGCAGGAGCGCTTGTTTCTTCAGCAAGCCCAGCATGTCGCCACCTGGGATAAAAGTTTGATGCAAAATGGAGAAAAAATCATTGAGTTGAACGATAGTGTTGACAAGGTGAAAGCTGAGCAATGTTCACTTGAGAATGAGCTGGATTTCATCGCATCACAGCAGAGTGAGCTGGATGAGATGCTTAAGCCGCTGGAAGAGTCTGTGCGAAGTCAAGGATCGTCCTTTTACGAGCACCACGCAGATATTGAACGCGAGAAGACATATCAGCTAGCAGAAAGTGTCGACTCGCAGCTGAAGCGTATGATGCAGGATCTGACAGAGGTCATTCATCATGTCAACCAGAGCAATGGTAGCCAATCAGATAGCAGTTCAAATCCGATGAATCAGCTGGCCCGCGTACTGAATGCTCACATGGACTCCTTACAGTGGGTAGACGACAACACGGGAATACTGCAGCGCAAGCTGGAGGAAGTGCGGCGCATGAGTGAGACACATCGAAGGGAACAGGAGCGGACATTCCGCATGGCGTATGATTGATGCTGGGGATGGCTGAGCCGCCTTTGCCCTCTCATCATGCTTGCGTTGACTACTTTGCCCTCATCACTTCTTGTAAATACTTCATTGGCAGTTCCGGCTGGTTCTGGTACGTGGAATGTACATAATGTTTGATCCATTGTCTGTAGTCGTAGTAGCTGTTGATTTTCTTTGTGTATGCCATCATGTTGTTTTTAAAATGTCAATGATTTGAGCCGTATCTGTGTGTGTGGGGCAGTGCCCTCCTCATTGATCTCACTTTTGCTCTTCTTGGAAAGTTTTGTACAGTACTCGTAATCATGTATTTTTTTGGCTGCCAATTGAGTACTTGTTCTTCTCATTCCTCTCAAGAAGAAGACTAGCAAATTGTGCTTGACCGTTGTGGTATGCATTTGCCGATGTATGGCCGTACGTTTGAATGAACGATACTCTGCTATTTCTGTGTGCTTGTGATACTGCCGATGAAGGCCTTGAAAGCCCGCTGTGGTGCAACTTATTTGACAATGCCATTGCAGGCACGTTTATTCTCTGCCTGCATGTGACATTAGGCAGACAGTGCCCAGCTGGATTATGGATACATAGTGTTCCTCACTTCTTTCCAGCGGCGGAAACCCAAACGGGCAATTTTATTTGTTCGGTCTAATTTTGTAGGGGCGCATTGAAGGCACAGCTGCTAAAGACTACTTACTCTTGATGTATCCTGTCTACACACCATTATGTACGATGGTATGACACATGTACTATGTGCAGTTCTTCAATCTTCTCCTAGCTCAACGAAACTGTGGTGCTCGCTGTTCCTTGGTCTTCGTTTGTGTCACCCAGGTATCCCTTCACCTACCTTCATGTAGACCCAAAGCCAGCTCCTGTGAGGTGGAGCAGGACTAGGTTGGCTCGTGGCAAAGCTGATCATTTTCCCATCGCCGACTTCAGTATCCTGGGAGGATGCATCTCTGGCTCAGTGCTGCATCACACCTGGTTCTGTCAGCCACTCGTTCCGCTGGCAACTGACAGCAGTCCTCCCTGGACAATAAAAAGACTCGTAGTGTGGAGTGTACAATGTTCCTATAATAGGCTACATATATTAGTGCTTGCACATAATTCACTGGACATTCCATGAACGCTGTACTGTAAAAACTGGTGCGGCCATTACCTGCTGCAACAGTGGCACCAGCCCTGCATACATGTATGTTTGCTAGGTATGATAATGATAGTACTAAGTCTACATGTATTACAAGGCGGATTGGAGGACACACGGTACGCGGAACAGCGCTCCTGATTACAACCCGAAACCGGTTGGCAGGGAATCGATGTAGCGACAGTATGCTGGACCGTGCCCCTGGGCCCTGGTCGGTTTATTTTGGTCGTTTGCCAACAGAACCTTGCATAACCATGATAACATACCAATACCAGCAAGAGTTCATATAAACAAGTGTTATGAATTTAAAATATGTTTCAGCCTCATGATGAGCTCATTGGACACGACTTGATGACGTCATCATAGTAATACATGTATGCGCATTTCTCGACTCAAAATAATTGCAGTATCTCGACGAGAAACGTTTTGACTTTTTAGATCATGCCGTTCGTTTGGAAACCAGGTTTGAAACCTATGCTGTGCTGTCTTATTGACGACTAAAAGAATACAGTGCTGTGTATTGAATCTATGGTCTTTATCAGTTGGACGATCGAGTTGGGAATTGATTCCTGATGTTCATGATTGAAGAATACATTTCTCCAATTACCTAGTAATTACCTGCATGCTTTTGAATTGCCCTTGCCTGGGAGACCTGTAATAACTCCATGTTGATGCTGATAAAGTGCGTGGTGCGGAGTACCGTCTATCAAGTTGTCTCGTTTCCTGCTGTCTCGGCGGTCCGGCCTTTGCTTCGTCTGACGACATCTCACAAGGTGGTTCGCTTCTTGGCCAGCATGAGCAGCGCAGAGGCACCACCATCGTTAGCATGCACTACAGTGCACAGTGTCTCTGAAGGGGCAAGTCTAGGTGCTGAAGCCGCCCACGTGGATCAAGCCGCGAACGAATGCACCGCTGAAGTTGCAAAGGCTACAGCGGAATGCTCGGAAGGCGCAACGCTCTCAAAGAATCAGCGTAAGCGTCTCGTAAAAGCACAGAAGTGGGAAGAAGGTGCTGCTAAGCGCAAGGAAAAGCGCAGAGAGAAGCGCCAGGAAAGACGAGCCAAGCACAAGAAAGAGTTTGATGAGGGTACACGAGAGCCACGCATCTTTCAGGAAGACACGGTGCAAGTCGATGTCAATGTTGTCCTGGATCTGTCGTATGAGGATAAAATGACACCGCATGATGTTAAGAAGGTCCGTCAGCAGCTGCATACCTCGTATGCTGCGAATCGGCGGAATTTGCGACAGGTGCGTTTGCACTTCACTAGCTATGGGGGCTCAATCAAAGAGCAGTGTGAACGCTACAGTCCAGGTATTTGCAATTGGAAGTGCAATCTAACTGAACAACCCTACTACAGCGTCTTCCCGAAGGAACAGATAGTCTACCTTGCACCCGAGTCGCCGAATGTATTGACATCTCTGGAAGAAGGCAAGGCGTATATTGTCGGTGGCATTGTCGATCACAACTCCCAAAAAGGCTTGTCATATCAGCTGGCTGAGGAGAAGGGGATTTACCACGCTCGGCTACCCATCGGCGACCATCTTCATCTGAAGACCCGACACGTACTGTCTATTGTGCACGTTGTGGAGATCTTATGCGAGTATGTCAACAAACCCGATTGGCTGGCTGCAATGCTAAAGGTCATCCCTCAGCGCAAAGGCCTGACACTACTTTCTAGTGTTGCTGGTGCAAAGCAAGATAATGATAAGATTGATAATGCTGACGATGAGAACGCTGTACCGGAAGTGTCGTGCGAAGCTCAGGCCGAGGACCGAGTTGATGCGGAAAAGCAAACAACTGAATGAAACAATCGTGTTTTGTCGCAGTACTGTGCGCTGATAAGCGCCGGGCGATGTAACCCTACACAAGCAGAGAGGGGAATTCCCTTGCCTCGGATACCACCAGAAAGTAGCAGATATGGGAATCTCGTTGCATGCGATACCAGTGGGCAGCAGGACGGCTTACTTGTTGGTCTTGCAGTGGCTGCCCTTGACCTTGTGCAGCTGATGCAGCGGGTGGCAGGGCACCCTGCAGTCGCAATCAGTAAGAGAGTTCGCTTGGTGTTGAACTTTTTCAAAAATACACACCACAGTGTTTGCATCACTGACGCTTGGACGTCGAGGAAAAGTGAAGGAGTTTGTTTGAACTCTTGTGCTGCCAGCTCTCCGCAGTAAAACACCAGCGCTACGCTGCTAGCAACTGGATGTCCAGCAGCCAGGAGGGAAGCCGGACGTATCCTACGCATGAAGAGAGCAGTGTAAACATCTGAACTGCCAGGATTGGTTACAGAGTGGCAAGGGTTCTCTCTCTCTCTCTCTCTCTTTCTCTCTCTCTCTCTCTCTCTCTCTCTCTCTCTCTCTCTCTCTTTCTCTCTCTCTCTCTTTCTTTCTATCTCCTTCTCTTTCTCTCTCTCTCTCTTTCTTTCTATCTCCTTCTCTTCTCTCTCTCTCTCTCTCTCTCTCTCTCTCTCTCTCTCTCTCTCTCTCTCTCTCTCTCTCTCTCTCTCTCTCTCTCTCTCTCTCTCTCTCTCTCTCTCTCTCTCTCTCTCTCTCTCTCTCTCGAGCTGCTCGGTATTCTGCTGGCCACGTTTGTCTGACCGTGCGCGTGACTTCTGGTCATTTTCTGTTCACCTGGTTTTGAGTCGTGCGTGCCGGCATTACGTACAGTCTGCTTGATAGCATGGTGTTGCTACTGTTACTCAGGTTATCGCTACTGCTCCGTGAGAGGACCATGCTCTGTGCCCAGCATCGCTGGATTGAGTGCTTTTAGTTTTTGGATCGCATCCCAGCCTCCGAATCAATCCTGTTGACGTACATTGCTTTAATTTTTTTTTTTTTACACATACATGGCCTTTTGGAACATGCATGTATGCCTCAAGCTGTTAGCCACGTACATGTACATGTACGACTTGTGTGGCCCTGTGTGTTCGCATACATGTACCGGGGTCCAGGATATGTGTTTTCTTGAAGTGTTGGGCATGATGTGTCTTCTGATGTTGGGAAAGCACTCCACATGGTGCTGCATCATCTTTCTTTCTGTTCATGTTCTGATCTGAGGCTAACTCTTTATTCTTCACATTGCTGTTGGCTGTCGGGGGCATTGCAGCTAGTCCAACTGGTATGGGTTTTTGCTCGACCACCTTCCAGTCAATGGTCACATTTTGGCATACCGGTATAATATCATTATTATTATAACCCTGGACACACACAAATCTTCATTTCAGGATATTCTTTTGTACACATGTACCCCCTGAGTTCCACAACTCCCGAAATCAGAATTATTAAATTTTGTGGTCACTGCCACTGTCAACGTCATGCAATGCGAGCCATCACGGATCTATAGAATGAAGAGAAATGATCGATGGGGTGGGGCCGGGGCTAGTAGTAGAGAGTAGTAAAAGCTTGTTCAACTAAAAAGTAAAATACTTCAAGGATGTGCTTCAGTTTCTGCCAGGGAGTCGTAAAATACGTATTTTACGACTCCCTGGTTTCTGCACACATTTTACATGCTTTTGCTTGCTACGTCCTTGACGACTTTTGCGTGCATTTTCGTAGGGCATGGCGCGAAAATGACTTTTGTCGTCATGGCTATCGGCGAAGGTGACGCCATGTTTACCCGGGGAACGTGATGCTCATCGAACACACCGGGTCGTAAATTTTCATCCAAGTGGACCGAAGTTGTGACTTTTGTAGCTTCTTCAAACTTGAAGAAGAGGTTGCTTGAAAGAGGCTGTTTGTCAGTGCTTTGGCTACTGCCTACCTTCAGAATGATGGTATGCTATTGTGGAGAGATATGAGGGCAAGATGTCCAGAAAGATTGAGATTCAGCGTTATATTGTGCCGTCTGTTTGCTACTACACAGCAACCACCAATTATCCTCCTTCAGGAGGGAACAGACACCTCACAGGGCAAGGGCCAGTTGATCAGCAACATCAACGCCTGCTCGGTAGTTGTGGATGCTATTCGTACCACTCTAGGACCCCGTGGCATGGACAAACTTATCGTTGATTCGAATGGTATGCGTGTTGTCGAAGTTCTTTCAATGACTGAAATTTTATGAAAATGAAAAATAAATTGTTCGGTGCCCTGGATATGGATGTTTGGCTGTTCTGTGCTGAAGGTAAGACGGTGATTTCCAACGATGGTGCAACTATTGTCAACCTCTTGGATATCGTCCACCCCGCTGCGCACATTCTCGTCGATATTGCAAAGTCGCAGGATGCTGAGGTAGGACTTGTTGGAATTATTTACTAGTGCAGTACTGACCTATCCTGTACTCACGGCTGTGGGGGTACTCATTGATGCACATTCTTTGCATGGGCACACGTACTGGCATTCCAGAAGTTTGTTTGACTACATGTACTTGTGCGCGGAGTGTTTACATCACCATCCTAAGATGCTAAATATTTATTCGGTTCTGCATCGATGTGGCTCATGGTTATCCTTTGAAAGGGTTTTGCTGGTGGGCCTGCCTTATCGAACCCGGCGAACCTGGCGTTTCTGTTATGGATATGGTGTGTCCGTCGTGTAGGTTGGTGATGGAACAACTAGCGTCGTCCTCCTGGCAGGCGAATTCTTGACACAGGCCAAGCCGTTCATTGAGGAAGGTGTGCATCCACTTCTAATTGCCCGCAGCTTCCGCAAGGCAACTAGTTTGGTGAGTATTGGAATCCACAACAAAATTCACGGTTCGCGTGAGACTCGTCTAGAGGCAGAGTTTTCCGCATCCGTAGGAACGCCACCACCCTTCAAGGATCAAGGAATCCACAAAGAAAGTGAAATCTGGCTTTTAGGGATGCGTCCTGTGAATCAAAGTGTATTCGTTAGGAAATCTGTTTTCTCGCAGAGCCTCGCTGAAACTGTGGCCAGTGGAATGGAATCTGAACCTATATTCACGTGCAGTGCGGCGGGCAGAGCTTTCCAGTATTATGTCGTTTGTCGTGACAGGACTAAGGTATGCAAGCGCCGAAACTCGAAACGCAGAAGTCCTGAAATTTCCTCCTTTGCAGTATTTAATCAGGGATGAATTTATTATCATATTTTTGCATAGCAGTTTCTGCTATACAAATTCACAATTGTGTAGCAGTCTGATTTTGATTAGCATTGTTCTTGAAGGTTGGGTGTTTACCACACTGTCCTTCTTGAGAGTGATGCCTGAAAGCCTATTTGCAAAGAAAAACTGAATTATACATGTGCATGCAGATTGAGAGTGCCTGCACCACATACACTGCACTGTATGCATGTTACTTGACAGCGCAGGCTAGGCATGGATAGTCTGTATGTAACGCAGTTTTCTGCGAGTCACGGTGACTTTTGAGTAGCAGTAGATCGATTTTGCATCGCAAACTGCGATGCGATACAGGATCAATTCATCCCTGTTAATGTAGTTGCAGCACCGGCACACCATGCACTCCTAGTGGGGAATTTCCCTGTCACACAGCTCATAAGTTGCAAGTGCTGACCATATTGGTGGCTTGAATGTCACGAATCCCCTTCAGTTTGAATGATCGTTCTGCGTTGAGACTGAACTACTAACCGAAAGAAGCTGTGGCAAGGGGCTGATCGCATTGTGCAGGTGCAGCGAGGTGGCTTGTGAGGTCCATGCAGGCAACATTGTTGTGCCTGTTTCTCTCTGGACAATTTGGATCGAAGGAGGAGGGTCTCGGCTTTCCAGAGAGCCCAAGATCGTAAAAAAATCATCGACCAGCGAGTTAAGTTGAATTTTTTGGATGGCCTGAGTCGACCCATCGTGTGCAACGGGCACTGGAGGCAAGTTTTCATGTCGCGTGCTAGGGGTGAAATAAAAAAAGAAAGCAGAGCCCCGCGTGAATGCACCCTTTGGGGGCCGTGCAAGGTTACCGATTAATTTTCTTTGCTTTTCAAAAGCCCTGCTTTTGTTTTGGGGTGGATGTACGGATTTAGGGCTTTTCATGTCAAAAAGAATTAGGGAGTGTACAAAAATCCAGTCTCTGTGGTGGTGCTTAGGATTGAAATCAGAGTTTTTTTGCGTGTGCATGTGTGCTTGCTTGCGTTCGTTGTTGCTTGGTATCACTCTGTAGGCTATTGAGAGAATTAATGAAATCTCCATCAAGGTCAAGCGCGACAATCTCGAGTAAGGAACCATTGCTCAAAACTGAACTATTACTAGAACTTACTACACATCTAGCTGACATCTGCAAGTTCTGTGCCCGTACTTTAGCTGGTGCGAATGTTGGACCAATCAACGCAGTCACTGAGCATGTCTGCTGAGTGCTAGCTGATGTCCTGTATTTGCAAAGTGAACTGTCTGTTGAGCCTATGGCTTTCTGCGGCTTCCAACTTACACGAACAGTGTTCTTTGTTTCTTGACTTGTGCCAGTGGCAGTGGCAACGCCAATCGATATACATTGCTGCTCAATGAAATCAGGTTGCGTGAATCAAGTATGCGCCGGGCATTGTGCAGCCCTAGACCTGCGAACACTGAAATTCTCGCTGGCACCTGACGCAGAGTTCACGTACTTGATTAGATCTCATTGAGCCGCGCTGTAGGTTTACCTGGGTGCACTGTGATAGTGGAACATGAAAGCCAGGGAGTAGTAAAATACAGGGAGGTGACACGCCACTAATCGTGATTTTTGATGGGTGCCTTGCGCTTGTTTTTGTTTTTTTCGTAAAAAAAAGATGATCTGCTGAATCAATCTAGAGTATTTGTCGAAGAACTAATTCCGTGAAAAGGTCTATCCTTCTCATGGAACAGCATTTGTTTTGCTCCTGTGATACATCTGTGTCATCGTCATATGGAAAGGTACCACCTTTCCGAACTTCGTCCCGATCGACGGCATGGAGCAATAGAACGAAGGTGATTTCCTTGAGAACAATACGTGTACGATTGGAGAGGAAAAGCGAGTGCACCGATTTCGAAGTCGAAAAAATCTCTAGGACACCACACGATCGGCACTAATTTCTCCTCAGTTGTGATCAACCAGTACTTCTCTACCTTCTTTGTGATGATGAGCATTTCATATTATGGTATGCTAGAGATTCGGGAGTTCACTTTTCGGAATGAAATGTTCCTAAGTTTGTCAAGGATTGAAATGCGGGCTACGTCGGCGTAAACAGCTTGTATCGACACAGGAAAAATCTACGGCACGCAGGGATATTTCCCAAAGTGATACCACTCTTGCTGGACTTCTATCCTGACATAGTGGTAGTTTGGTCGACTACCAAACTTTGTGACTGAGGCAGACAATTGTTGGAAATTCTCAGCGCTGAATTTCTACGGGCTGCAGTAGGAGTCTCTTTGGCGGTAGGTATTTTACTACTCCCTGATCGAGAGAATCCTGATCCGCGCGCGTGTCTACACACTTCGGTACCCATAGTACCCCAATCTCACCCGCCGGGTGAAAACGGTGCTGAGGCAATCGTCAAACTGGCCGTACATGCTCGTGTCACCTCCCTGTATTTTACTACTCCCTGACGAATCTCTCTCTGACTACATTCCACCCATTTATCGTGTGTTTGCATGCATGTGTGTGTGTGTGTGTGTGTGGACGTGTGTGTTTTCATGCATGTGTGTATGTGTATGACTGTGTCCGCCCATACGCAGGGAACAACGCGCCATGCTTGAGAAGTGCGCCTCCACCTCACTCAGTAGCAAGCTCATCTCTCATCAGAAGAGCTTCTTCTCCAAGATGGTTGTCGACGCTGTCATGCAGCTTGATGAGAATCTCCCGCTGAACATGATCGGAGTAAAGAAAGTACACGGTGGATCACTGGAGGTAGGAATCTAAAGGCTTGTGTGATCATCCCAGTCACTTCATACTCTTGGGAATCACTTCACTTTAGACAGTGCATGTAGGCGAAGACTGCTGATCCATCTTGTGCTTGGAGCAACTGGTGTGGTTTTCTTCACATATATTCTTATTGTGTGTGTTTGTGGGGTTGATCAATGCGTTCGACATGTGCTAACTTACTATTGGAAGCTGAAATATGGTGAAACTTCAGTATACGAACATACCCTGTACAAGCTTATGAGCTCATACCATACTATTAGTTGTGAATGACTTATGATTACTTCAAGTACAAGTACTATTATGAAATATACTGCTGAGGACCCTGCCTTGTGCTACCAGTCATTTGACGTTGCATATCGTAGTGCCTCAGCTATAAACTCGAGTGCACGTTTTGCGGCCTTTCTAGGCACTTTATGCTGAAATTTCACTGTAGTGTTGAAGTCTTGAAGACGTGTACTTTTGGTGGGGATGATACGGAATCCGCGATATCTTCGTTTCAAAATGCTTCTTCTTGCTTGCAGGATACTCGTCTCATTGCTGGGGTAGCATTCAAGAAGACGTTCTCCTATGCTGGCTTTGAGATGCAACCCAAGCAGTATGAGAAGCCATCAATTGTCCTCCTCAACATCGAGCTAGAGTTGAAGTCTGAGCGTGACAACGCAGAGATCCGCATTGATAGTGTTGAGGAGTACCAGGAGGTTGTCGACGCTGAGTGGACTATCCTGTACGAGAAGCTGCAGAAGATCGTCGACAGCGGTGCCAAGGTCGTCCTGTCTAAGCTGCCCATTGGTGATGTTGCTACTCAGTTCTTTGCCGACAGGTATGCTGTATGGGACAGGGACGTTTGTGGGTAGCCTGTGGGTGTGCATGTACATTGCTGCTGCTGCTAATGCACTGCACAGTTCTGCCCCTGTACTCTATGTGTTTGCCCGTGCACTCTATATGTGTATCCAGACACTGGTCTGAAGATTGGGTCGCATGTACTGCAGCATGGGCTATAGTGTGTTGAGTGTTCATCCTGGGTGAACTCAGTGTGTGTGGTGTGAGTGTGGTGGGTGTGGTAGGATTGCTGGATATCTTCGTTTGTATGTGTAGCGGGCTGTTTGGTGCCGTGGGCTTTGGCGTACCCTCGGTGCAATTCTCGCAGACCCGTTGTCCTTGTTCAGATCAACGTGGTATTACTACTGCTTCTGTATCATTGCTGGTATCTTGTGTTCTTTGTGGTGTTTGCAGGGATGTATTCTGTGCAGGCCGTGTACAGGATGCTGATCTGAAGCGCACAATGAAGGCGTGCGGTGGCAGCATCCAGACGACAGCCAATGACCTCAACAAAGCGGTGCTTGGAACATGCGAGTCCTTCCGCGAGGAGCAGATCGGCGGAGAAAGGTAATGATCGCATGATGTAGCCTCTGGCTGTTTCAGCTGCGTGTACAATCATGTAAAACGTACTTGCAATGTGTTTATGTGCTGTCTTTTCCGGGCATTGTGTTCATCCTGCTCCCGTCCCACCTCTGCTCGTTTTCTTGTTTCTCTCTGCATTTTGCAAGTCCTAGCCCTACTGTTATCTTGCACCAGCTTGATGGTGCACCACCTGGCATGTGTGTTGTCATGGTGATCTCATGTGTTATTATGGGTATTATCAAGAGTGCATATCCAAGAGTGTGCAGCTCGGTGGTCCCCTGGCCCATGGAGGAATTTTTTTGACGTCAGTCTTTTGCGACCATTTGACTCACTGATGCCATCGAGCATAGCCAGAGATCAAAGTACAACGAACTTGTAAATCATCGCTACGCTAGCCATGTGTACATGTTTTTATTCCCGTAGCTATGCGAAAGACGTTAGTAGCGCCTGGCGCTAGCCAGTGCATGTAGCGCTTTATTTCGTATGTGTGTGTGTGTGTGTCGGGCGGTGGCGCACCAAGCCTGGCGCACACATTCAACCATGACACGTGACTTAGCACCAGCTCGACTAGCTAGCTCAGCAAAATGAGCATGTGATGAACGAGCATAGCGAAGGGTGCTGAACTTGCTCTCTCGTTGTTCACTTGTTTGCCGTCTCTGCGCAGGTACAACATCTTCACCGGCTGCCCGCAGGCCAAGACCTGCACGCTGATTCTGCGCGGTGGCGCGGAGCAGTTCATCGAGGAGACGGAGCGTTCGCTGCACGACGCCATCATGATCGTGCGCCGTGCACTGCGTAACGACAGCGTAGTGGCTGGCGGCGGTGCCATTGAGATGGAGCTATCGCGACAGCTGCGTGACTATGCCCGCACCATTGCCGGCAAGCAGCAACTGCTCATCTCCGCATACGCCAGGGCACTGGAGGTGATCCCACGACAGCTGTGTGAGAACGCCGGCTTTGACTCCATCAACATGCTCGACAAGCTGAGATATGAACACTCCAAGGAGGGTAAGTTTCCACTCCCGTGCAACCTTGATACGGTCATATTTGTTTACTCCTCCCAGGCTGAGCGACGATGGGGATTTTCCCTGTCATGTGACAAGTTTTGATTGTTGAGAAAGGCATGTGAGGGGCAAAATATGCTGGCATCTCCACGAGTGGGTAATGTATGTACAAGTCCTACGAGGACACACTAGCAAATTGTGAACGGAGTTTGCCGGAGTGTTTTTGCAATACGATGCGATGGCTATGACGCCAGGGTACCACTCACCACACCCGCTGTGCAGCTCGTGCTACCACCGCAGCTATTAATCGCAGAAGTTGAGCTCTGCCCCACCTTTGCAATGCAGAACCACTTGTTTTGCGAAGCTGTTCATGTACATGTATGCAGTGGTCCAGGGTTGCTTGTGGATTTGTACAAGTTGTACCCAGCTATGCAAGTAGATCGACTGCATTGTGATATCATCCGTACTCGTTATCAGGACGAAATAGACCCTTTCAGGCCACGTTTAGTGCTTTGAATGTACATCTGGTACTCACTTCATCATTTTGAACCCTGTCTACAGCCAGGCTGTCAAACACCCCGCAGTGCGCTCTTGTCTTGAGAAATTCATCAAGGCTGCATCGCTTTGCTGACTTCTTCTGTGAAGTTTTGCAAATTGCATCACTCTTGTGCGTTATGGTGCTGCAGTACATGCCCATCACCCATAGAATTCCTGTGGAGCAGAATAGTCCGCTGCACTATATGGAGATCTGTCTTCCTGTGCATTGCAGGCCTACTTCGCACACTCCTTGTTTAATTAACGTGGAAGTTACATGTCGTGTGTGTGTGTGTGTGTGTGTGTGTGTTTGAGAACTTGAGAAATCAAGTGGATATGATTGTATTTTCTGATTTTTCTCTCCTAAGTTTCCTGAACATTGATTG